TCCCGCCGACCCCGCGATTTCGGGGGGTCCCGCAGGCCCCGCGATTTCGGGGGGTCCCGCCGACCCCGCGACTTCGGGGGGTCCCGCAGGCCCCGCGATTTCGGGGGGTCCCGCCGACCCCGCGACTTCGGGGGGTCCCGCCGACCCCGCGATTTCGAGGGGTCCCGCCGACCCCGCGACTTCGGGGGGTCCCGCAGGCCCCGCGATTTCGGGGGGTCCCGCAGGCCCCGCGATTTCGGGGGGTCCCGCCGACCCCGCGATTTCGGGGGGTCCCGCCGACCCGCGACCTATACCCTTAGCGGCGTGTTGAATTTTGATTCCTCTTTGATGTTCCTCCCACAACATCCATTGGATGGCAATTTTTGACTGATTTTCACGCCATCTATAGCCCCCTTTTGGAATTACCCCGATCGTCTCAGGTTTTAAAAAATTGCGTCTAAAGACTTTGTTACAGCATGATGCAATAGTGGTGCTTTCCTGGAAGGGATCGACTGTGGTTTCGGTTTTCATCAGGTCTCGAAATTTGAGACACGCCTGTGTCAATATTTCCACATCGGAGATACAGTATTCAACGATTTCTTTCTGAAAATCAAAAACGTATCCCTCCGCTTCTCTTTCGCCATGCCATTTTAATAATTTTTCCCGAGTGTCTTCTTTTAAATGGTCGGGATCGTAGAAGTCGAGCGCTGGAATTGGCCCTAGATAATTCTGATGAGCCAAAGTGTTGAATAGATGTGGAAAGTATCCTTTCTTTAGCTCTTTCAAATCAAACGCCTTGGGTAGAGCAGTTAGAGGCATAGGAAAATAATTGAGAGAATCCAGAAATTTTACATTTCCTACCTCCATCAATATTAATTTTGTTCCTCTCATAATTACATTTGGGTACAGACTAGTCTTCTCTAAAATGTAACGAAGTAGAAACTGATGATCAAATCCTCCACCATTATGCGCCAGTACAATGACTTTCTTGAATTTTTTACGAAGTGTCAGAATATGATGCATAAATGGAGAAATGACGTCTTGACATCGAAGAATCTGTAATCGAAGGCCACATTTCTTGCATATAGGATTATCGGTACATGATTCACAACATTGTTTGAATACACATAGATTTGGCTCATGAAGTAAAGATCCGTTGGGTAATTCCTTCTCCTGACGGGTTTCCAAATCGTAAAATATTAATAAGACATCATTTGATTTTGGAATTCTTCTGTCAGGCTGTATATAGCACATATGTTCAATTGGTTGATTTTTATAACATGTTTTACAAAGTATATGTCCGCAGATGTGATCATTACCGTTGTGAACTTTAAAACAGTCTACACATCTTTTAATTTTAGAACAGACCGATGGTAAATGAGCGTTAAAACATTCTTGTCCATAAAAGCTTCTATTACATTCTTTGCATTCGATGTGCTTCGTTTTCAGGCAGGCCGGAGATCTTTTACAAGCATAACATTGTTTATCACATCTATGAATTTGTTTATTATTATACGGAATGTGGCAGTTCTCACAAAAATAGCTGCAGCAAAAAGCAGCAGTGAGGGATGTTATGACGCTGTAGTGCCCCTCGTGATAGATTAGGTTAAGCGTCGGACCAGTGGACACGCCTTCAAAAATGACGTCACGACCTTTGCACCCAAACTTGTATACAACAATTTTGTAGTTTTGCAGATATCGTTGTAGCTTTTGAAGTTCAGGTATTCCACACCCCTCCTCAGGGATAACAATATCAGCCTTTTCCACAAGTTGTACAGCTCTTTGTCCTTGTATTTTTCCTCGATCGAGGCGGATTCTGCTATAATCTTTGTCTTTGTTCAAATGGGCCATGGCGATGACAAGGGCTCGTGGGAGACACAAATTATCGGTGTTTTTAACGGTGATAATACCTCTTCTTTTGGCGCATTCCTCATCAAAAGTATTGAAATTCTGACCTCTACCACGACCAGCAGGCAACCTTATGGACGTAACTCCCAAGCAAAAAGTTTCGGTATTCAACCCCACAGAATTTGACTGATAGATGGAAGATATCTTCTCCCATATGTCCTCATTTGAAACGTCGGAAAACGATTTAAAAGCTATCCACCCTTGACCGCGGGTAAAGTCTTTGGAACAGAAAGTGAATCCAACTTGATCACTGGGCTGGAGATGTTCAGTTCCTTTGGCTACTATTTCCTCCAGAGCGTCTTTGATCCATCCCACAGGCTCGACGTCTTTAGGGATAGGTCGTATTTTAAATTCCACTTCTCGCCCATATAGATTAAATTTTTTAATCTTCTTAATAGAATCCTTAACGACGAAGAATTTTTCCATTTTTTTAAAAACTAAAACGTTAACTAGCGACTAAATCTGAACTGAGCACGTCTGTTCGCTGTAGATAACTGACAAGATAATTTGCGGTGATTCATAGGTATTTATAATCTCAATTTTACCCCCACCACTTTTTAACTGACCACAGTGTTTCAAGGTCACCGCTGGCCGGTATTAACTCGTTGACAGCCTGCGCTCCCTGCCCATTCACCCATGCTTGACAGCCCCGCCCGGTACTTCTTGCATATCACCGCTACGACTACACCGGCGCTGAACCTAACCTCATTTGCGACGTAGGTGATTGCCTTGTTGGAATATATTAGATACACAATATAGACTGTACTATGTTTTCAATATTGTATCAATGTTAAAAATTAACTAACTGTATGCACCACATATGAGCAATTCCATTTTTATATGCACACTGAATATGACGTGTTGACTATTGAGATCATCCTATACGCATTGTTCTCCGCGAATTTTATACGTTTTCCATTTAAACTGAATCCGCAGAATTGCATCTATAATTACCGTTATTCATCGGCTTTTATCGATCTATATGCAAATATTTACCGCAAAACATGAAATGAGTCACATCACTTACGCATAGACGTTATACTACACCTTACTATCGTCGGCTGTCTGAATCACTTCCGGTCGGGTGCGGCATCTAGCGGGGCCCGCCAATCAACATATACCATCAACCCGTTCAAATTTCCCGCCGTCTGATCCGCCAATCAGAGCACGCGGTGAATCTAGCGGTTCCCGCCAATCAACATATACCATCAACCCCGTTCAAATTTCCCGCCGTCTAATCCGCCAATCAGAGCATGCGGTGGGCGTGGCCTAAGTGGAAGTGGTGGGGGGTGTCCAAAGTAGCCCATATTCTACTCAAATTCTACATCCAAATCATCCATATATCCTACAGTTATTTGAAATTTTGAGAACAGTAAAAATATCTAAGTATATCTACTTGAGAATATACATATTTTTATCTAAATTTTATATTGTATGAATATATCAATAATATTTATGGTCCATATATTTTCATTCCTGCTGATAGTCTTCGGTAGCACCAGCATGGAAAAAATTTTAAAATTAGTGACGATAACAAATTATTTTCAGAAAGAAATAATAGTTGCAGGTTTACTAGGGTTGCCAGATTTTTCATAAGAATTATAATACCGGAATATTTAATCACATTTCCATAACATTGATAATCAGAACGTGAAAGTTTGGTGCAAAATATGATTTTTACAGCATTATTAAAATATTTCATATTTCATACAAGAGTTTGTATGGTTCAAACATGTTGACTATACATTACCAGAATATCTGCTTTTCAATTCATTCTTAACTGCTTGTTTTTAAGCTATACATATTTAAAAATATATTTATGCTGAAGTACATATTCAAGCTTGAAACCTACAGCAACTCTCGTGAGCTTTTCATATCAACTACACATTTCTAATATTAACAGCAGCTCTACAAAGCACTCAATTTTACATAAACTTATATCAGCCATGATCGCGAAACACAACCATGATCATGAAGCACTCAATTGTTCAGATATACCTACCGGGTAGTTCTCCAAGGTGGCTCACCCCTACAACTTTTTTGTTATTGGAGATAGAAAAACTAAATTTGGGGGCTGCGTATTATAGATGAATTTAAATTTTTTGGCATATTCACTTGCTTTGACTCTAACTTTCGTTTTTAAATGGGACAACTTATATATTTTCACTTATTTTGATCGAGAATGACATTCAGAACTCAACAACGCCTCACTTGTCAATATTTGACACATGAAGTCCATTGTAAATAAACTACGTTACAAATAAATTTTTAATACTGACAGTATTTTTAATAACCTAGGTCAGATATTTGTTGAAGTAACCCTAACAACACCTTCAATTGTTTGTTACTAGATAACTAGAATAATATAACTTAGGGCCGTATCATCAATCGTTCCTACAATAATTGTCAGACACCTTTATGGACTCCTTGATTTTCAAAATTATCTACTTTTCCGTGTCATCGCTCTATTTTGAGGTTATGTCACAAATATCTATTTGCATCAACTTGTTCATGCTTTTGATTTATATAATCTTTTATCAGCCTCAAATATTTCCTACAATTCAAAAAGAAAGCCTAACTTCACAATACGAGAGCTCTGACTCGGAACAGGTGTAATCTAGAAACTATTGAAGGAGAGGACTGGAAATCAACGAGGCCATAAAGGTGTCCTACAATTGTATGAACGACTGACGATACGGCCCTTAGTGCATAGTTATACCGAATGCAGATACGTGTAGTGTCAAATTATTCGTAATGAAACTATCTTAGAAAAAGCCAACGAGCCACCCCCCTTTCTATTTGAAAAAATCAAGTAAACTGAAAAAATGTTGTTTGTAACTTTTAGGAAATCCTTAAAACGACTGTAAGGTCGTTCGCCTCAAAATCGTATTTTCCCGTGTTACTTGATCAAAAATGAGGCGTTTTACAGGATCCATGGCACTCAGATATTGACAAGTAAGGCTTATTGAATTCAGAATCTCATTCTTGATCGAAGTAAGTAAAAAATGTAAATTCATCTATACGCAACCCCCAAATTTCGTTCTTCTACCTTTAATACGAGGGATGTCTTTTAAGTTTTGCATATGGAAATAAAACAACACGGTAGGTAGACTTTATTGTTTTTCGAAATATTCTCCACGAAGATTAATACACATCTTCATGCGCTCGAACCAATTTTCGAAGCTCTTATTCCACTCGTTTGCTGGCAGATCCACAACGGCATTTTTGAATGCGTCAGCTGCTTCTTCTGGTGACTGGAACCTTTAACCACGCAGTCTGTTTTTAATTTTCGGAAAAGTAAAGAAATCGTTAGGACTTAGATCATGACTATATGGAGGATGGTCCAATAATTCCACGTTTTCTTCTGTTAAATACTGCCTTGTTTTTTGGGCTGTGTGCGAGCTTGAATTGTCTTGGTGGAGGATGATTCTTCTTTTGGAGTTGATTTTTCGAAGCTCGGTGATGACTTTTGGCAAACAAATGGTGGTATACCAATCCGCAGTGACAGTTCTTTGCTCATTAAGAGGAATTGTTGCAATATGACCCGCTTTTGACACAACTGTCGCAACCATCTTTTTCGAAACATTTCGAGAACCGATGACTTTTGTTGGCTTTACTTCACCTTGGAACACCCAAACAGCCGACTGTCGTTTATTTTCTGGTTTATAACAGTAAATCTACGATTCATCACCACTAACAATGCTGTACACATTTTTTGAGTTTCCGGAATTGAAACGGTCAAGCGTTTTTTGACACCAATTAATCCTGGCTGCATTCTGCTGTTCAGTCAACAGGTGGAATATCCACGGAGAAACTAATTCTCTTACTCCTAATTCTTCATGTAACATTTTTTGATTTGAGATCTTTGAGATCTTCAAGGACGCCTCAATCTCGCGATATGTCACATGTCTATCTTCAATGATGAGTTTGCGCACAGCATCGACGTTTTTTTGGGTGATTGCCGTTTTTGGTGCACCCACACTGGGATCGTCGCTAAGACTCACCCGTCCACGTTTGCATTCTCCATACCAACGGGAAATTGTCAACTGATGTGGCGCTTCGTTGCCGAAAACAGACAGTAACTCAGCAAGGCATTCTTGTTGCGATAATTGTCTCTGAAAGTTGTAATAAATTATGACGCGAAAATGTTCTCGGTTGAGTTCCATTTTTCTAATGACTTGGTGACACTTAAAAATTCACTGTAGTGAGAACACTGCACGTATTGTTGTGAAACTTTGAATTTAAGTTTACTAAAGAGTGAGGTTAAGATTCAGTACTGACGTTCGATCCGCGCGGCCTAGTATGTTTCTATATGCAAAACTGAAAAGACAACCCTCGTAATAAAAAAGTTAGAGAAATGAGCCACCTTGGAGAATCACCCGGTATATCTGGACAATTGAGTGCTGCTGGATCATAGTTGTGTTTCGCGATCATAGCTAATATAAGTTTATGTATAATTGAGTGCTTTGTAGAACTGCTGTTAGTATTAGTATTGTGTAGTTGATATGAAAAACTCACGACAGTTTGCACTGGAGAGAGTAACAGTAACAGGTAATTTATATTCTATTTATCTCTGATCACCAGAGGTTGGCAGTGGAACGACATACCTTCAACTCTGCATCCTGAATGTTCCATAGCGCTCCACGTCTGTGTGACTTGAATCAAGTAGAAATACATCCTTCCAATATAGAATCTATCTACCTCTAAACCCTTTTTTCAATGGATCAGGATGCTTTTTTGTTCATCACCTCAACATGAAATAAGTAGTTTAAATAAAAGCGATGTTAATTAATATTATAATAATAACATTTGTGGTTACGAAAAACCTTCCTGTGACGCCATCGACATAAAGAAGAGTTTAGGTAGCTTCTGTTTGCGGCGGGAATTAAAAAAGGCACAGCAATCATCTGTCATACTTGTCAAAGCCGCTATTTTTTGTGGATGCAACAGTGTTGTCAGGTTGTGGCCTGGGGAATGACACACGTGCTAAAGCATTGGCAACGCTGTATAGATACAGTGTTGCCAGTTCGCTTGCATTGTTACCAGTCTTATTGCTTTTCTGCCACACCTCGTATAATATTAGCGGTGCTTGGCTTCATTTTCAACATGTACTATTAACCGTGCTTAGCTCAATTTCTGTTCAAACCTCAGTAGTTTTTATTTACTTGAAGCACTGAATTTTACCTGGTTTCCCAGCATCGATCCTTAGAGTATGTAAACTTTTTTGACGTAAAAACTTTTATACCCCAGCTACGAGTAAATGCTGTTGTCTCTTGAAAGTTTTCTATAAAATATTTTTATCGGAGAAAGTTTAATGAATAATGAAAGCTTTGAAAGTCGTTTGTACGTCGCGATGTCAATAATAAAGTACCTTGGAAATTGCCTCTACAGGTAGAAGTTTTGCCATGACAAAGAAAAGATTTCATATGGTCTAGGAATTCCACCACTACGAAATGTCCATCATACATATATAGTCGAAATCACGAAAGATGACGATTACGTCATCATTTTAGTCTGTAGTAAAGACAAACGACAGCGATTTGTGAGTATATTTAATGAAGTTTGTGATATGCTAGACAGAGACAAACAGAATTTTATTGTCTAAACAAATTCTATTGCTAATTTTCATGTATCCGACAAAGATAGACGATGTTTTCATGTTGCATGATCGATTATATTTGAAAGATGAATAGTTAGGTTATGTTAAAGCAGGTTATGTTGTTATCGAATAATACTTTGGTCTCTCTTGTTCCTGTCTTAAGGTATTCTACTCATAACTGTTTTTTTCAAGACAAAAACTCGCCACTAAAGTTATTATTAAGGTATCACTCAAAACCAGGAAATAAAATGAAAATAAAAACAATCAGTTAAATAACCTAACTTCGCAAAATCATAATATAAATTTGTTGTCATTATGTTCCTGACATCGTGATTTTATCATCGACGTACGTCCATTGATTACTTCAGTACAATTTAGGGTATGACGTAATAGTCATCTTTCGTGATTTTGACTATAACATATGTATGTAGATACTTTTTGCTTAGCCAAAATTGTATTCTTACTTCACTACTAATTTTATAAATGAGAAAGTATGAATAGTAATGCTCTACCATCACATTTCCAACGGCTTAAAGCCAACTGAGCATGCGCAGTGGAGAAAACATGTTCAAGCACGGGTAAAACCTAGTTTGGTATTATCGGTCCGCTGTTTCCGCATACCAATTTTTGGTTGAAACTCTGGACGGTCAAAGCAGTACACAGGATTTTGACGGGACTCGCAGTTTTTGAACTAAGTTGGGGCGTTTGAGTCTTTCTTTTACCCTATTTCACGAGTAGCCATCACGCTTTGACGTCTACGGAGGTGAACAGCTGATCAGCAAGTGACATTTTTTTTGTTAGTCTGTGACGTTGGCAATAATGTGTGTAAAACTAGTAAAACTTGTTTGTAGGATTTTGTTTTTTGTATGCAAATGAAGCCTTCTAAATAAAAGAGCTGTTAACAATTACAAAATGAATAAGTAGCGTACAAAAAACCAAAACAAAATATGCCTTTGACTACCTGACGTTGACGGATCGGTCAGAATTATGTGTCCTGTGCCGATATGGGGAATTTTGAGATATTACTAGATAATCAGCTGTATCTACCGTGATGAATACTCGTAAAGTAGGGTATAGTTTTCGTGGTTTGCAGGTCATGAAAGATTTCGCAGATAAAGCAGATAAACTTGATATAACGATTCGTTGTTTATTCCACGTAGCACATAAGAAACGAAGCTAAAACGACGATTGTTTGCAGGATTCTGATTAGTGACACTTGTCCCCTCTGTTATCCTCAAGCTGCATTATATTTATAAACAAATGTACACAGGTTGTAGGCAGTACCGCTCTGTACTGCTAACTTCTTTTGTTAATTACCTAGGTACTATTTTAAATTTCAAATTCTTTTTACAAGTATTTGAAAAAAGAAGTTAAGCTACGTCATCTAAGATGATGAGTATAAACTATAGATATTAGTGTTCGACTCAATGATCAGATATCACTTAAAGCGGGGTCAAGTCCTTGTATATTGCTGACACCCTGCTGCCCGATGAAAGAAACATATAATTTCTTTATAAATATCAAATACGATGTTCTCATTGACATCTCAAACGTATTTTGTATTCTGGGACAATCAAATTTGAAACAGTCTTTTGACACCGCATGTGCGTTGGAGGAGTTCATGATCGGGTGTCAAGCCGTTGGAAATGTGACGCTAGAACATTACTTATGTTTGTTATTCAATCACGCCAACATGGCTGAACGTATCTGGATCAAATTTGGTACAGACATATACTACAGTCTGAAAGAGCACATAGGCCACTTTTTCTCTTGGGAAATAACCTTCTTTCACATTCTTCAGGATAAGTGGAATTTGACATGAGATGACTGACACGGAAACGCTCAGTCGCTGGTCCGACCGAAATGAGTAGTAATAAATAAATAGGGCATTATATTGTGCATTTACTGGGTTTCTTCATTTAGATTTGTTTGGTGTTCTGTTTTACTTCAAGTATAATACTGTGAATAAATAATATATATTGTTTCTGTATGGTTTTTTCTAAAATTTTTGAAAGCACTCGTAACAAGGTTATAAGTCAAAGATTATTAAGTTCAATAGGATTTGGGCGTTCAGGGATAGGTATAATTAAGGTCAGCTCCCACTGTTTAGGGTCGTACCCTTTTTCTAAGTCTAAGTGATATGAAAGAAAGTTATAGGAAGATTTACTTTGATCATAGTGTTTGAAGATCATCTGAAGGTCATGGACAAATTACTTTTGTTATCCTAAGGCTTTTCTTTCTAAAAAAATGCGTGGTTGCCAGGTTTTCGGCGTATTCGGGTATTTCATAGTAGCTCTATATCTCGGAAAAAAACTGATTTGATGAAATTTTGGCATACCAAGGATGAAAAAGCTTAGTAAATTATGAACTTCGGTTCAGCAGTTGCAGAATTTTTGGCGATAAAATGAAAACATTCGGAAAGCAACCAAATTTTTATTTTTGACATTTTTCTTTCATTTTTAGAAGGTATTGTTTATTTTTGCTAGTTTCGAAATTTTTTACAAATTGCAACTTTTTCAACGTTTTTTTGACTTTCTGGTCACTTTAGGATGTAGCAAAGATCTACAAACTACACTTAAAATTTTCAATATACTTAAATTGATTCTTCTTCCCACGCCACTGGGGAGGAAGTATTGTAATTGCGAAAAATTCAAAATATTAGATAGCAGCTTTGGAGGTTATATATGCCGTACATCACACAAAATCATGTCACTCATCTCCGTTGATCTGTGTTTGAGTCTGCCTGACTGTCCACTAATCCTCGTAAAATACCGCTTAGATTTTGTTAAAATTTTCATATAACTATGCCAAGGACTAAAAAGCTTTGTATACTTTTTGAAAATTAGGACAGAAGTGGCGAAGCTAGGAGCAAAAAACAAAAAAAAATTGCCAGACTTCGTATTTTGACATTTCAGAGGCTACAAATCATTTTCAGAAATCACAGTCCAACATGTCCAACATGAAATGATGACAGCTTTGCCTGGGAAGAACAGATGCAACTTAATGGATGTCATTTTTTATTTTAATGTATCGAAAACCGTAACTTGAAACCATGCCACGCAAATGTAAATAATGTCATCGTATTTTATGACTCTCCTGTTGGGTCCAGGTTGCCCCGGTCCCACTGACGATGGACCAATGGCCCAATTCCCCTGAGCCTCAAGAATACGTGATACGAAACAACGAATTAAAAGGTTACCGTTATCTACAAAAAAACGACACAAATAAAGGATGCTGGTGACGTACCGTGCTGTGTTCCGTTTGAGTATTTTAAATTGTAGTCTAAACGTTCTTACCGAATACTTAACTCAAACTTTCACATGTCTTTTTCTATTTTTTGACCATAACAGCTCTTGCTTCATAGTCAATAAATATATTGTTGAGTTGCTCCGACAATTCGATGCAATATATTCCGATCATTCTTGGGTGTACACATTTTGAAGGGGTCCAAAGCGAGGTCAAAAGTACAAAATTTGATTTTTGTAGTTTTTAAACCATCTAGTGTGTAGACAAAGGTTACTTAAAATCAAGTTTTACTGGTAATTAAAAGCGCCCAGAATGCTAGATAGCGCTAAATAGGTTTATATAATTTGTTTATGAAATGAAGGTAATGTTCAGCTGGAATTTATCTCAAATGATATACAGGCCTGCATCTTTCAGCACATATTTCCATCTAGTAATTTAATGTAATCGTGGCGTTGTATTGCAATTTGCATGGCCTGGTTTCACCTTGCGGTTGATGTTCACGAAACGGCTCACCAGTACAAAGAACAACGGCATTGAATAATATTCACTGTGTTTACATTGTTTCATTTGTTTTTCTCATTGCTTAGATTCACGGAAAGGTGTAGCGGATGGTCGAGCAACTAAATAAATCCCTCGCGGTTTTTATAAATTGCTATACTTTTCCTGCTTTCTTAAACTGTTACATAACCATAACCCATAAGTGATGAATGACATAAGTGACAGTTGACAGATCCGTGGTTGCCAACTTTAACAAAATGACAATGACAGACTAAAGGACCGTATCGTCAGTCGTTCCTACAACTGAGGCGTCAAGTTGCAAAAGCCGCCTTATCCATTTTTCAAAATAAATTAATGGTAGACCTTGAATCTTCATAAATTCAGCCACAAAATGCATCAAAAGCCGCTCCTTCCTATTTAAAATTGAGTGTAAATATGTATGACTGCGGCAAAATCCGTCTTATCCACTTTCATTGTGATTACAGTTACACTTACACTAGAAGCAGAAACTGATTTAAGAATAACCGAATAAAATCCCTTTTCCATTGTTCCAGGCGTGGGCATAGTTCTGGTAACCGTCAGCGGCGTAGCCTGGCGCCTGACCTCCCACTCTGCCTCAACTTGTCGCTCCATGCTAGGCTTAGCCCCGCCCAGCGACTCAGGCGCAGAAGGCGGCTGCCCGCGCCGATTCGTGCCCCGTCTACCACCCTCCTATGGCCGACCGCACCACCCGTACGCGGCCATGATGTACCCAGAGTTCCAGTACCGCCCGCCTCCCCCCTCCTATCAAGCCAGCATGCAGGAGTACCGGCTACGGCTGCTACTATTGGACAGAGCGGCCACGCCTCAAATAAGGCAGGCGGCGAGAGACGCCGTGTCGCCGCCTCCTACGTATCGGAGCCATGCTGGGAGCTTATTGAGGTAAGTCAAGAATGAAAGCCCATTTGAAAATAAAGGGTGGTTCATCCAGAATTAATTCTTTCAAAAGAAAAAGAATATAAAAACTAACGATCGACCAATATAGGTATATACAGGGTGTCTGAAAAGTTCCGGAACCCCACGATAATTTCTGAACTAATAATGGTATGGAAAAACTAAACCCTGTGATTAATAGGAATGTTCCCCAGCTATCCAATGATGACCTTGGATTAGATCTTCACAATAATCTTCAGGATCAAGCTGCTTTAGATGGAATCCCCATTTTTTGGCCCCGTAAATGAAAAGAGCGGAAAATTTCACGTTCAAATATGGTCTTTACCTTCTTAAATTTTGCCCATGTAGTATCATTGTCAAGCTCATCCCAGTTACTGTGATATAACTTCAAAACCAGTAGTCGTATAAGGGAACTACCGTGACATTATGTTCATGATTTTTCCCCAGATATCCAATGGTGACCTTGGATCGGACCTTAACTATGATGACCTTCAAGGTCATGTGAAGGTCATGTAGATTTTTGTAGCCAGGGAACGATCCTGAAAGAACAGTGAAGTCAGTTTATCTGAAATATCAAGAAGTCAAGGTCAGCTTGTCTTTGACCTTGATCACCAAGGGCATATTCGAACATAAAATGTCCCCTTTTATCTATTTCCGCGGTCAAAAATATAGGGTCACAATAAAAAAGTGTTGGACTTCAAACTACCTTAAAGGTCATAAACAAGTTCAGATCCAAGGTCAACGTCAAATTCAATGTCACCATTGATTGATATAACCTGCGTATGCCTTTTGATTATCAATTTTTGGGCTATTGGGTATTTTATCTGAAAAAACACCAAAGTTTGGATCTGCTGTCCTGACAGTTTGGATTAGCGTAGGCGTATAGGCTAATATGTTGATGAAAAGAAATCATACGTAGTTAGAACTTCGCAGACCACTACCATAACCTTCAATGTCATGTCAAGGTAAAGTCACTTTTCTATGAGATCTTTTATTACTAAAATAAAAATTGTGGGACTTTCCACATTGATCCACAATAGTCGAATGGCCCATCGCCATTGCCAATAATAAATCTTGACAAAGACTCTTAAGGCCAAGATAAATTTTTATTTAGGAGCAACACTACTTTCTTGCATGTTTGTGACGCCCTGTATATCGTGGAAACGCTTTATAGGATTTCTAGGAGTCCATGAGAACTTTTGATCAGGATGCTCTGAAGAACTTATTTCCAAGATTTAAGCAACATTCATTTCGAACTGATTTACGTAAGATTTGTTTCTAAAACTGGCGAACCTGAAAACTTAGAACTTTTTGCTGTTTTTACCTATTTTTCAACCTCTTCCTTTCCTTTTGGGAAGGTTCCGGATAACCAAACCTTATGCATTTTAACCAAAACAATTAATTTGTTTGAAATAATCCCGGAAATTAGGGGACCTTAGATTTCGGAAAAATTGTCGAACTTCAGTGTCAACAGATTTTGGGATCATTTCAACCCCTAAATAGAGATAGTCTTTGAGTAGGTACCTATTTTTTAAAAACAAAAAATACTGCCTGTTTTGATTTCTCATAACGATTAAATTGATGCATGGGAAACCTTTTTAGGTTTATTCGCAAGATCGAAATCCAATGGGCAAAAGAGGTGAATTTTTGGGCTCATTCTTTGTTCATGTCAAATTTTCGATAATGTTTATTCTCTTCATCAAGACGTTTATACTAACTTTTCATACGTTGCCTTCGATATGCCTTGCATTCTGTAACACACTGTAAAGTCAGTTTCTCTTTTACTTTTCACCAGAGCTCCACTATCAAGCCATCGAGACGCCGCCCAATCAGAATACAGCTGTCCGCCATCTTATCGATCGCAGAACAGCACAAATCGACAGGGCAACTTACAATCGAACTCAGTGCTTCACAGCAGAGAACAATCTCTAAGCCTTTCTGAGTCCAACCACGGCGGATCAGTGGTGAACGTGGTCAACATCCTTGGGTCTACAGAAGAAGACATTGCGTTGGACAACATCACTTTGGACTCATTGAAAATGGAGCCCGAGAGTGATATAGGTGAGTGCTGGGATTGTTTTAGATTACACAAGTTCTCACTGATCTGTCTCTCAGTTAGTCCTGACCCCTCGATCAGTTGGAAACCAGCGCTCGGATTTTAATGAAACTTTCACCCAAGGTTGCTACTATGTCAAGGACGAACAAGCTTTAAGGTTTTTGAAAATCGACCCAGCGGCGGCAAAGTTAGGGTAAAAACTCCGTTTTTGACATATCAAATACTCCTGATCGTTTTTGGATTTTTTTTTAAAGGTTTGAAAATCGAGGTTAAGGGATGGGGTTGTAAATATTACATCTTTGGTATCAGTGAAAGACGTTCCATTATTAAGAAGCTTGCGATACCGATAAATACTACGCCCATCGCACATATTAGATATAGTCAAAATCACGAAAGATGACTATTACGTCATAACATAAATTGTACTGAAGTAATCAATGGACGTACATCGATGATAAAATCACGATGTCAGGAACATAATGACAACACATTTATATTATGGTTTTGCGAAGTTAGGTTATTTCACTGAGTATTTTTGTTTTTATTTTATTTCATGGTTTCGAGTGATACCTTAATAACAATTTTAGTGGGGAGTTTTTGTTTTGAAATAAACAGCTATGAGTATGTAGAATACCTTAAGACAGTGACACCAAAGACCAAAGTATTATTATAAAACAACCTAACCTGCTTTAACATAACCTAACTATATTCATCTTTCAAATATGACCGATCATGCAACATGAAAACATCGTCTATCTTTGTCGGATATATGCAAATTAGCAATACAGTTTGTTTAGACAATAAAATTCTGTTTGTCTCTGTCTAACATATCTGAAACTTCATTAAAAATATTCACAAATCGCTGTCGTTTGTCTTTGCTACAGAGTAAAATGATGACGTAATCGTCATCTTTCATGATTTCGACTATATAATAGTCGTACATGCTTGGAGTTGTCAGGAACTGCAACAAAAATAAAAACCATGAGATGCCTATCGCTGTAGTCTGAAGAATCTGTATCTTTTTGAAGTTCAACTAGCGGGTGAATGGTTTATGAAATCCTATTAGTATAAAGTGTGACACTGTTTTTCTTTTTGCTGTTTCAGTTAAAGATAGAGATGCTGACCATTGCCCGTTTTTTTTTTGAGCGCTCTGTATCTGTTCTTCTTTTGCAGGAAACCCAGTGAAGATGCTTTTGAAAGGCAGCTCCAGCGAACTGGAAGGCAGCAAAGACGGGAACCTTGTGACCATAGTTCAAACCAACGATCAGAGCCCTGTGATAGTCACTGTCAGTGGCAGTTCGCAAATTGACGGAAACAGTTCGATACAAATCACGGAAATACCGAACGAAATGGAAATATTGGCACATTTATAGTTCAAGGAGGGGCGCAGTGTGCAATTTTTTATCATGCTTGTAATGTTTCGTGTTTCATATTTGATGTGAGGAGGATTGCCGATACGTGGCGTCAATGTCAGAGTTGCATAGACTAACGGAATGTTTGAGGTTTTTTGAGGATGTGATGCAGTTTATATTCGTTTTTTTACTCGTGTGTTCATAAGAAAATGTTTTCGAAATTCGTGCATTGACACAGAACTCATTTAAAGAATATTCTCAATTGTTTTGAATTGACCTTGATTTCTGAACCTCACATTGAGGTTAGATTCATATATGATAATAAAACTTTCAGCCTTCACCTGACACTCAACATTATTAATGACCTTGAATTGACCTTGATTTCAGTGTCTGGTATTGATATATTCATATGTGAACGTGAAATTTTCAACCATTCTCATTACCGGGATTAAAACGGAAATCACGTTAAAAGTTGTAAACGACCGTGTCGAAAAGGTCGACGTCATTCAAAGTCACTGTCATTCAAATTCAGCCCCCTTTTTACTCAACACCTTTTCCTTTTGACCTTAAAATGGTCTTGATCCAAGGTCAAGATCGTCATGAAGTTTCTGGCTCTTCAATGAACTGGTTTCATACAGCTTATCACTTCTATGTCGCACGATTCTTGTATCCAAGGGCCATATACGAGTACGTTTTGTAATATTAATATGAGACGGTTCCACTTCTACTGGAAAGAATAACTTTGAAAATAATAATCATTATTAATAATTAATATATAAATGCTGATGTTGCGCTCCTCGAAAAGCAACATCATACAATAGGGAATATGCGTGTAATTCAAATATCGGTTCTTTGTTTTTATCTACAGTCTGTACTACTACAGAAAGCCACCTTCTCTATAAAATTACAAGTATCAGTTAATAGAAAATGATTGTAATACGTGGCAAATTTGAAATATCGACAGGCAGGTCTATTCTCGTGACGTCATGATATCGGCAGGTGAGCAGTCAGTCTTTTATCGCTGTCATTGATTGTCAACCTGTCAGTTCCAAAGAATACTGGTTGACGCAGAATCCACCACTGAGCTATCTAACTACAACAAATTCCGCCCCTTTTTCAGCATAAATGTCAACACCGTTTAACAGTGGACCGGCTGCCGCCAGCAGAAGAATTTCCCCGCCAAGACAACGACGGAAAAACAACGAAAGAAAAATAGAATTTTCAGAATTAACCAAACTCAGAATAAAGTGACAAACTATGAGTAGTGACGTCAAAATATATGTTTACGGTATTAACGTAAATAATCTACAGACAATACATAAAAATGCATATTCCCTATCAAATTTCGTGTCGTCTGCATTTGAAATTAGGGTGTTTTTGTTCAAAGCATAATGTTCTGAACGATTGAAAAAATACAAATTTGTACAGGATATGATACTATTGTAGGGCAAATAGGTTGTGAAATTAAAAAAGTAAGACAAAAATATTGAATTACGCAGACGATTTCATTTTACCTTAACTTTATGACTATACCAACATAAGGAAAAAAAATATTAAGAATTGTAAAAATTATAACATTTTGAAATATTAAGGTTTTTAAAAAAGTGATATAAAAACAGATCCTGATCTTAAAAATCAAATCGTATAAACGCGCGAGAGACGATTTTATCCGAAAGAACGCGAAAAATTAAAATTTAATCATAGAAAAACATTTCAAAAATAATTTGACGATACGAACATATATTTAGCACGAGTTTTTCGAGCTCACTTGGTCGTATTATACGTAAACGGTAATGTTAAGCTCATTGTAGATTACAGTCAATGGCCTGTGACAAAAAAGGTTATGGTAAAATGTGCGCTCAAGTGATTTGCCAAAAACTCTCTATTCTTTAAATTTATGACCTCGTAAATTCTTTTCGAAAATTCGTGTGGAAAGGTGTTACTTAATAATTATATAATAATATTTATTAACGTATTCCACCTGAAAGTACCCAATTAAAGGAGGTATTAGAGTGGTATCAGAAAGGAATAGAAGAACCTAGTGTCATCTGTGAGAAAGTATCAGAACCAAGCACTCGTAACTCTTTTCAAAGTAGATTTCTACATTCATGTTTGTCTTTTACTAATGTCTCATATATAGGGCGCCAGGACCTTTTAGATCCCTTTTTGGGGGCGCCAAAATACAGTATATGTTTGACTATCTTCAGGTAGCATACGTTAATTAATGCCTATTACCAGTCATGAATTCATTGAAAAATACATTGCTTGAAACATAAGATGAAAATAAAGACAATTGTAATAATGTGGTCACTGGTCGCTTAGAATAATTAGTTGGACAGGATTTAACTCCAACTGGCAAGTGTCAGTTGCTCACGTTAGCTAACCGTGCTGTCCCCCAATACGTCATCGGTGCGGTATAGAACTAAGCGACGTTGCCTGATTGTAAAAGAATTTATGAGAATCAAACCTTACCCCACAATTTTTCAATAAGAAGAATCGACAATTTAGAAATGCTGATACTTTATCTGTATTGTACATTTTCAGATCGTTTAAAAATACTCATTTGCCTCTAAATATCTTTGAGAAAAGTAGATTAAAGCAAATTTTCGGCCACAGAACGTAGAAAACTAGTTTATTCTATCAAAGTTGCCTGTGAATACTGAGATATACCAACTTGGGTTGTTTCATAAGACTTTTTGAAGTATTATAAATTATTTTATTGCAATTTTTGCTTTGTACTATATACCTTTACGATATTTTAACTGGTTCGCCGTTACAATAATAATGTGTACATTATTTAATGTTATACATTTATTAATTATGTAATGTTACACTTTGTATATTTGCGATATTATGTGCCTATATATTGTAGATAGAGTCTATACATAGCACCTGTAATATATATTTTAATTGTAAAAATACATTTTTTAATAAGTATTGTTAAATTTGGGTTTCATTTTAAATATCCTACAACCTTATCACACAAATGTAAACAAGGTTTAATTTTGATTTGATGAAATCACAGTCATCCCTACATATTGCAACACAAAGCTAGATTTCTAGAATGATTGTTCTTGGTGTCTTCTCAAGAGAAAAGAAGGTGGCACTACAAATCCTCCTCTACCCCTGGAAAAAACATATATGTACTTAGCTGAAATTGTTTAACCCTAAAAGTCGAAATAAACTTTTTGTTTCGTGCTATATAATTCCATGAACATACAGAAAAAATTATAAGCTTGTCATGCCGCGACACTGTCAAACACAACATCTCACACAGTGTTGCCGAACCTACCGATTTTTCGTTATTTTTACCGAAATGGGGCCTTATCTACCGAAACACCCAAATCATTTCCCATGATTTTTTTAAATAAGTTAGATATTTCCAGATCTTTTGCCGAAAAACAGCTAGAAACTAAAATAAAGCTGAAAAAATGAATTCTATGACGCAGTAATTTTATCATGCATAATTATTATGCGTACAGTTAGACAGTTGGGCACGAGAGGGACGAAGATTTGGTTCGCCTATAGTTATAAAGGCACATCCCCACTCCACTTTTCCTGTGTTAGTTTTTGTGCGCACAACAGGTAGGGTGAATGTGCCAGCCGTCTAACAGTTTAATCAAAAGTGGAATGAAAAAGGGGCTATTTTGCCAGTACCTGAACAGAATGTGCTACTAGTCGCCAGTTTTGGTTTCCAATTGTCGGACAGAATTTGATTCGCTAGTTTCAGATATCACCGTATTTGTGATTGTAAGATATAGATTTCAAATCAGCTGTCATTAGGACTTTGAAGAAACTAAATTAAGCACACTCATACTGAGTCCACTTAATATAGTTATTTTTATCAAAAATACACTCTACAAAAGTAAAAATGAACAAAAAAATATTGTTTTCCTTTAATCCGGTCCTGAAGGGTCGACTTTGAACTAACATACTGTTTACATTTCTCACAGCTTCGACTGTCTCCATTGGCCTGCTTTCACTACATACAGGGTGAGCATTTGAAAACTTACCTCCACGGATTTATCGAAATCCACTGATTAAAAGAAAAAACGCCGAGACACGTTAACCGCTTGACAACTTTTTTAACACTACTTCACCCTCGGCCCCAGGGTCATTTCCTTAAACATTTCAAATGACAAGGGGTATCGAGTTATAGCTTGTTTGGCCTTTCAAAGTCCTTTATTTTGACGTTTGATTTTTTTTAAATCAGTCGAATCGTTTTCGAGAAGATTAGAAAAATCTTTATTTATCCTTAATTTGTCAGATAGAAAATAAAAACAAACGAAAATATAACTTTTTATTTCAATAAGTGTTCAAAGTGTTGCCCGTTAGGGTTTGCCAAATCTACAATTCGTTTATTATTTAAAACGGAAACTACCAACATGAACAGCAATTCAGAAGATGGCAACAACTAAACAACAACCTGAATTTTGCCGCATCAACACAGATATACTGGGCGAACTGTATTTATTCTTATACCTGATTAGTTATTTGTTTTTTTTTTTTTTTGGCACTAGGACATTGCGTCCCTTTAGCCAGATCCAATCTTGTATATGTATATTTCTAATTATGGACAAACACACGACGTCACAACATCCATGGCGAAGGCGAGATTCGAACTCGCGGCCCGGTAGTTATTTGTTGCTATTCTATATAGGTATTTATTGATTCAGATTTTACTTCCAAAATGGTTTACACACTAGCTACTAAAAATAGATTGATAACGACCACGCCATTCCAACAGTCGGACTCTGACAAAAATTGAGGAATCGAAAGCATGCTGTTTTTGACGCGGTAATATACTGTTGTCAGGATGACAACTGTGGATAGGAAATTTTGGTAATCTATCACAAATTAATTGATAATCTGGTACCAATTACCAGCAAGTATAGCATTTCAAATATCATCATCCTGAAAACAGCAGCCGTCAACCAGCACTAAAAGTTACACAAATATTGTCAAATAGACCGCATTATTGGTTTTCACGCATTCACGTATAAGTACTCATAACAAAGAACCTTTTCTGTTTGGAAAACAAGATTTCTCAAGTTCACGAAATTTTCAAAAACTAAATATGTAATTTGCCATCTCGGACGAACGAAATGCACTGAAGTGCTTATATTATTCCGAGACAAAATAGACATAGATGATAATTATAGCTGGAGTATGGACCAAACACTTCGTAATTGAATTTATATTAAATTTCCATTTTTCCTTCTGTCATTTTTTTTAGACACGATTCTTTTATAGTATAAGAATTAAAAGCAAAAATTAATTTTCTGGCTTATGCGTGGAAAATAAAAAATGAATTGAAGATAGAAAATAGCGTTAATACCAACCAGATCAACAAAACTCCGCTTGTTCACTTCTCAGCCAAATTTTGTTGCGGACTCCGGACTGGTAAGAATTTAGACACTAGCACACTAGACTAGACCATAAAAGACTAGACTATACGTATATACCTGCTCCAACAGGAAGAAGCGCACACCGCACACCGTTGCTGTTGGTTGGAGAGTAGTCGCTAGTCGCATGCGCACTGAGCGGGTTTCTTAAAGTTACAGATTTTTTATAAGACGTTTACTTTATATACCACCTTTTCAAAGACTGCTCGAGTCATCTGGGGGGGGGGGTAATTACCCCTTTTACCCAGTGGGAGCGCCAGTGCGTGAGACAAATCTACTGAATTTCGACGACCTAGCTATTATACCGATTTCGTCTTTTCTGTTCGGCAACACGGATCTAACATCTATCGGAAGAGTATACATACTCAATAACAGGATAGCAAAACTGTGTATTTGTTACTTTGGTTTTTGTAGAAGAGATGGCAGCACAGACAAGATTAGTGATACGGAATTTCCAGTATGTAATCATCTACTGAATCATCTAAAAGTGCTTAAATGCGAGATTGTGTAACTCTATGTTTTACGAAAGATAATCTTTTTTCCTAAGTTTTCTTCCCTATGCGTATTTTAAAGGTTACTATTTTTGTTTATGGGAAACCGATTAATCATATGAAAGCAACTTACGCAGCGTACCCTCGCCCCAAACCAGCGAAGGCTCTGCCTAAACCACTTCCATCCCCTAGGCCTCTACCTCCTCCATGTCCGCCAAAACCTCCAAATCCATGCCCCCCAACACCACCAAATGCATGTCCTCCAAAGCCCCCAACTCCATGTCCTCCTCCTCCCCTAGGACTAGGAGATCTAGGTTCCCTTATGACAGGTTCTTCTTTTTCACCTATACATAGAGTCCTGAATCACATATTAGTTGAAAAAATGTGAACGCGTTTATGATCTGCGTTGTGGATTGCATAGAGCATGTACGTCTGCAAACTTGACAAAGTTTGAACTGGACAGTTAAAGCTCAAGCAACAAGTCTGAATTTGATGGAAAATCTAATTCCTACACTAACTGTGTATTTTTATGCTTATTTTTAAGTCCCTACCTAGACATAAGTATACCAGAATCCCAAAAAATTATTGCGACTGTCATATTCAACGTGTTTTCAAGTTTTTGCCATATTTTATTCATTGTTGTAGTCATACAATTTCAAACTCTACAGCTTTCTATTTTTTAAAGAAATATATACTTATATCTAAATAATTTACGAAAAGTTAAAACAAAAGTTCACATCACTTACCTCCTTGAGGCTGCTCGTTTGTCTCAATACCAAATATGGAAGAAACTAAAAATGGGAAGATGAAATAATAGAACAAGATATTTGTCATATTGACTGAAATATGTGCACTGACAGATATTTTGATAAAGTTTCCCCAGAAAATGCAATTATACATAATCATTTTAGCATGTTCTATTTTTGGATTCCCTAATTAGATTAGCACATATTGCATGTGCGTTTTAACTAATATTCTTAGGAGATATAACTGTTTATGTCCACAGTCTGTTCATTCAATACATTTTACCAAAATTTATAATCTAGACGAATATTCCTTTCCTGAGTGACTCAGGTGCGTAGATCCTGAATCCGATATCAGCATGTCTCACGATTTTGATCAATCATGTTCATAATCAATTTTAATATGAAGCATCCTGTACGTATAACAGTTTCTACCAAAGTATTACTCTACAACAGTGATATAAAAGTATAAGAAAATATTGTTTTTTGCATTTATTGCGTCCTGATAAAAATAGAGGACAGATAGTCATATTCATATCGGTTTAAAATAAATTAAGAATGGTATCTCTTCATTCAACGAAAATTCTCATAACATAAATTGTAAGATCGAATCAAGGCCCTGACCTGGACCTGTACAAAATTAGGTCAATTTTATCATAAAACACGTTAATCTTAACAAATACATATTTCGACATACCTTGGGATATAACTGTCAGTAAGATTTTAAGAAGAAACGATCTGATTTTGCCGCGGGTTTTCTCATTACTCAGTAAAATCTCATAACAAAAATTAAATATTTTCAATAATATCTCGTAAATGGCAGAACGATTTGCCATCTTCTATGACAATAATTTTCATGTGTTTTCATTGCCAATTTACTATATTATTACATGTTTAATCTAAATCTGATATTTATTATCATTTACTTGGTATATGCTACGATAAAAAGTCCTAGTTTTGGAGATAACTTTTATTAAACAATTGATAGGTATAAATATAAAAATCTATAATTTTATATTATAAAGACTAGATCAGATAAGGTAGCAATAATGCTATCATTGGTATATGTTCCTAGAGCTTCTAGACTTTTGAACTTTGTTAAAAGTTAGATAAAATATGAAACTAATACATATCTAAACCTTAAACAGATATGATGCGAAACACTTTTTTGGGGATTAGAAAAAGTTGATGACTTTTGTGGCATTGTTTAGATTTCGAAAAGGGCACTAAAATAATTGAAGAAAATAAACAGTGAAATAAAAATAAAACAAGTCATATAAAAATATAAAAAAAAATAGCTCACGCAGAGTATAAAAAATTACAGCATAATGTACATATGAACAAAATACCACTAAAACTATGATAAAATCCTATCAATGGACATGTTTAGATGATAACTTGACAAAAAGTAATATTTTTTGAAGTGCTTCATTCGCGACTTTTGCATGTCCATTAAAACGTGTCATTTGTATCTTTTTGTAAATAACTGGCTATACTATCTTTCATTAATTTAAACACACTATATTGCATATTGACTTCGCTCTCCTGTACAGGACTTTTCCCCGCCAAATTTTTTACACTGCAATCAGCTCCATTACTCAAAAGAATATCAACAATTTTCACGTCGTTTTTCATACACGCGTAAAAAAGTGGCGTATTGCCTTTCGCATCTTGAATATCAATTTTACAATTTCCGCATTTCAATAACTCTCTAACAATTTGAACTCTCTGGAAAATACAAGCTAAGTGGAGAGGAGAATGTAATGTTTTGTATGCTTGTACATTGGGCAAAGCACCAGAGTCTAAAAGCAGCCGTAAAATTTGGGTTCTTCCGCATTTTGCTGCTAAGTGTAGTGGTGTAACACCATTGACATTACACATATTGATATTGACAGGTTGTTCATTTTTATGTGGAGGTTTGACCTCCATATCTTGCTCATTTTCACATTTATCACAATTACAAAGTGGATGGCAGCACTTACTGCTTAACATAGTTTGTGAATTACAAGTAAATCCTAGATAAAAGCAAGTTAAAGGCAAATCATTACTCTCAATAGCTTTGAGTAAAAGATCGACTTTTCTGAAATGTTCAAGGTCTTTTGGCCTAACTCCATGCTCAACACCTTTTTGTTTGCAATCATCATTCACAGTAGAAAGTTCTGTGATGCTTAAAGTACAATTTTCAATGATTTCTCTTATAACAGTGGTACTTCTTTTCGCACCAAACCTTCCAAACAGCTTCAAGATATAGTAATTTGGTGCTAAATTTAAAGCTAGTTGATTTCTTTTATTTTTTACTACAACCGAAGCCTCGTTTTCAAGCAAGGTTTTTATTATATCAAAATATCCCCATTTTGTTGCTAAATGTAAAGGAGTATCACCAAAAAAGTTGCCCAGGTTCAACTCAGCTATACCCGAGGAGTACAGTAAGGCTTTTACACAGTTCTCTTGACCATTTTGACAAGCCAAATGAAGAGGCGTATTTTTATCACTATCTGCAGCATTAACATCAGCATTGTGATTGATCAAAAGCATTAAAATATCTTGGTAGCCATGACTAGCTGCATAATGCAAGCTAGTCCTATTGAACAGATCAGTTGAATTAACATTGAAGTTATGAGTGATCAAAAAATCTACAACTTCACAATTATCCATGATAGTTGCAGTGATTAATAAATTCTGACCTTTTTCATTACAGTAATTTGGACTGAACATTTTCATTTCAGTTTCTCGATTCTTAACGATATTCAGGCAATTTTCACATATACATAAAGGATGACATAGTTTTTCTTCAAACAGTGATTTTGTCTTATCGATTACATCTTCAAGTGATATTATTCTATCAGACTTTATTTTTTCATAAAGGCAACTGATTGCAATATGATTTGTACTTGAATTTTTTTCGTTTATTTCAAAAAACTTATTGCTTTTTATAAATTCTAATGCAGCCTCAAAAGTGGCTAAAAAATAACTATTTTTCTCAATATTTTCTGATGAACTGAACCTAAATTCTTTCAGATATATTAAATTTGCTGACCAGTTATTGACTCTTTGTTTCAAAATCAGAAAAACAAAAATTTCAAGGACATCATCAGTATTTACATCTTTAGATTGAAATATAATTTCAAAAGTCCTTTTTATACACGTCATTTTATCAAGAACTGTTACATGATTGTTAATTTTATTCAACTCACACTTTGCATTTGTGATAACATCGGAGAAATGGTTTGATATGCCTAAATCTTGATACTGTATATCACATGAATTTCTAATAATTTTATTTAAGACAGAATCAGTCTGATGTTGCAAGGTATTTACACACATATTCAATTTTCTACCTAAACAGTGTTGCATATAAGTTTCAACAGCTAGCTTAAAATTTTCCAAAAAACTGGAGTTGTTACATTTATCTCTAAGAACTTTGTTTTGGAATCCAACTTGTAAGCACTTTGAAAACAAGTTTCCCAACAACTCTTTCTGAGTTTGCAGGCACTCTGCTTCAATATCTACATTCTTGTTTACAAAAGTGCTGCACAATTCTCTGATACTATGAAGAATACCATGCCCCAGACTTTCCGCCCAAAGAAAATCGATGCAGTCATGCAAACTTTGCAAAACGTTGATGGTATATGAATTACAATTCTTGAATTTCATAAATAATGGTCTATCAATACACCAGACAGTGTACTTTAGGGTCTTCTTAACGTAGAAGGTTTCTTCAAATAAAATCTCGATCCTGCTTGAAAATATTGCGCTGGCATCACAGTTCAGTTGTTTATTTTGGACGGTTACATTTCTCTTGTTCAACGTACAGAAATTGTCTTCTGTTGAAGGTATCAAAATATGGTCTAAAATCACTTCCAAGCTTACATCGTTGAAGGATATACTACCCGCTCTTGGTACACAGATGATCCATGATTCTATGGCGGCTCTCTCGATCAAATCGCAATGATTTTCGGTGATTTCTTTGAAAAATGAGTTTTCGTTCAAGTTTTCGTCGTATTGCGACCACATATTGATGAAACTTACCACATTTATTACAAAATCAAACAGTTGTTTACGTTCAACTTGAACATCTCGATCTCCGATATTGCCATTTGTCAAGGTGACATATCTGACGAAATAAGCTAATGATGGGACATTTCTCGTAGCTCGTAGGCGATTATCTCTAAGTGTGCCAAAGCACAGAGTAACCAAAGTGCTAAGAGGCCGAATACTTGTCAGAAACATGCAAAAGAAGAAAACGATACTGAGCGTTTAACTATTCTTTTTGTGGAAGATATACAAGCTTTCCGTATGACGTAGGTGGAAAAATGGCGCTCGCCATAGTCCCTCTTAAAAGTTGCAAGTGATTTACACATCTTATATTTTCTTATTGTATGATTGTTGTTTTGTTTGTTCTCAAAATCAACCTAACCTGTTCAAAATCAAAATGTAGATTTTGAATAAAGCTATCATCGACTAATGAATTTCCCAGATAACCAGAGTAAAATTCACTGTGACGTGAAATGAATCTCTAGGCATGATGAGCAGAAATGTGTTAATTTTTCTACCAAATGATTTAGACTTGACTGGAACAGGATATTTACGAGGAGTTTACAAACAATTTGAAGAATCGGAAGCTTATTACATTACATACAACAAAGCACTGAAATCTCATCATCAAGCTATAGGATATATTGGAAAAAAAATTACAGACAGCAAGTCTAAAAAAGCATTGTTCTTTATTGATAATACTGGAAGTATAGGATTATTGAAGGACGATACAAATTCTCGGACTGTAATAAAATATGAGTATCAAGCATTTCAAAATTCTGATCTTATATTTAGAAATGTACAAGTATATGGAAAACATTTTAACGCACTGATGGAAGAGTTGAGGAAAAACAAAAATGAAACCAATTGCAATGGAAAATATACTTTCATTAAAATGGGATTATTGTATTTGATTTGGATAGTGGATTGTATCATAGAGGTAATTTTAAAAAGCAGAACAGTCAGTGATTTAGTTAGTAAAATACTACGTTATTATGTTCCATATTAACTGTGATCCACATGCTGATGTAGAATCTCAAAGACATATTGCTTAATGTAACATACAAACCTGTCAATATTTTGACAGGTTTGTATGTTACATTGGTTCATGTTTAGTAGTAGTTGATGAATAGAAGTAATTTTTTTGAAGTTAACAATAACGTTACTAACAGCTGTTTCATGCTTTTTAGATACTCATCAGCATGGTTTTGGTTTGGTCAATCTCTGGAGAACGAATGAAAGTACAGCAACTATCCTCTATTGTTTTGAATGTATATAGTTATTTTACACAACTTAGTGTGGTTGCTCATTAAATAACTTCTTTTTGGATCACTATCGGGCCTAGGTATGGATTGAGGCCCTAGAACTCAGTTTATTAGGATCCAGGGTAGATAAAATTTATGCTTCCAAAATCATTACATTCTAGCGATCTCCACTCTTCAACTATAGAGGGAATGCATACTGCATTTGTGCTTCAGGCTCCACAAATCCAAGATTGGTCACTGCAACAACACAAATTATTGATGCCCTGTGACTATCTAATCTAAAGGCTTAGCTATATATGTGTAAACATGGCAATTGTCAGCAGATTTCTGCTTTGACTTATAGATCATCAAATACTGACATGCATCAGTCGTTTATTAATTGTGGCTATATCTTTAGTTCAGGTCGAAAAACAGCATAAGCTGACACTCCACCTTTATATCACCTTTTCTTCTTTTACTGGCGAACAAGTATTGTAATCCCGAAAAATTTCGAAATTGAGATATTGGTTTTTGGATGCTATATTAGATGTACATTACAAAAAGCCATTGTCAATCATTTTACGTCGGTCTGTCCACTAATTTTAACTTGAGAAGTACCACTCAGATTTTCATGCAATTATCACACAATATTACTACTATGCCAATGATGAAATAGCTTTGTAGTTTTTGAAAATCGGTCTAGTGCTAGCATAACATCCATAAAAAACAAGAGGAGGTAAGAAACTGCATTGCGATTGTTTCCCCAAAATGTCTTCTCATGATTAAAAATTTTTAATATGTTCAGGTTTATTGATATTTTTAACACATAATGAAGGTATCTGTCATTATCAATAAGCCCAATGTCTCCATCCGATTGTTTTTATGTTTGTAACAAGTTCTATCATCTCTACTTTCGTTTTGAAACACATGTTGGCTGCAACCTCAGCGACGAAATCTTAACTTAAGCGTAAAGGTTTGCCAATTTCCCAATTAACAATTAATTGTATATATATATATAATCTATATAATCTATATATATATATAATCTATATATATATATATATATAGACTGATTTAGTACTTATGACGGATTTATATACAACATAGACTGACAGACTGTCATAAATGAGGAACACTGATTTGTGTGATGCGTATATCTTTAAGCAACAGGAAACTGTATCATCTACCATCGTTTAGGTAGTCGCAGATTTTGAAAACTGATTCAGAAGCGACGGAAATGAAATCGCTGGAACATAGTGTTACAACATTTCAGAGATTCCTGCTCATTTTTAGACACTGGAGGGGATGAAAATTGTAGGTTGGAAGCTGTATGCAGTAAAAATGTTTGTAAATTGTTGCATATTTGGAGGCTGCTGATCTCAGTGATACTATGCACCTGTTAAACATATTATGTCACACATATTACCCTACATCTGCCATGGAAGCAGAAATATGATAGATATGCTTTATATTCGATTTCGCGTTTTGAAACGATTTGAATCATCCTATTTCGTTGAAACCTCCAACGAAGGTGCAGGAAGTATAGACTCAATCTACTCGACGCCATTTTTTGTTCTATTAGTCTATTATTTTCTAATGTTGTGATGAAGAAAGATTATTATTATTATCAATACATTATGCTGCACATCTCATTAATAACTTGTTGTGTAATATGTCATAGATCAGAAAAGATGAATTCGCCTATAATTTGCCCATTTTTTTTTTTCAGTTGATAGCCAAAATGGACATGGTTGTATCATGCTCTCACACATTCACATATTTTGGAGAGAGCATGCAAAATCTAAAATGGTTTGTGGAATCCATTTTATACGAGAAGAAACTAACTCCTAAACTAGGGAATGCACTTTTAGCAAAAATTGTTGATGTGATATGTGGAATACTTTTGATGAACTGTTTTTTACACCATCAACATGAAATATTGTATGCTTTTCAAGATGCTGTCGAGGTAAACTTACCTAGTATGTATTCCTAGTAGATAGTATGTCAAAATAGGCTCTATGAGTGTTTGCTAGATTGTCATTTTTGGTTTTAACTGAATATCCTTAGACCATAGTGAGGAGTTTAAAATGCAAGTTAATTTTTTTCATACTGAATTTTATTTACTACGTCTCTTCTAGTATTGCCTTTTTCTGAGAATATGCTACCGAGGTATTTGTATTCCTTACATCTCTTGATACCTCTGATTTCTAACTCAGGTTCCGCTGCTCCGTTTTCCACTCTCAGGTGCTCTGTCTTAACCATACTCATGTTTAGTCCCCACTTCTTGTACTCTGCATTCAATTTTCTAAACATGTAGTCCATATCCTCGCCATCACTCGCAATAACCGCCAGATCGTCTGCGAGAAACAAAGTTGTCAAATGTTGATTGTTATTAATATCAATCCCCATTCGAGACATCTGTCTTCTCCAATTTTCCAAAGCGTCCTGGATATATATGATTTAAATAAAATTGGAGACAGGCAACATCATTGCTTGAGGCCTTTAGATATCGAAAATGTCTCTGATATGAAATCTCATCATTTGATGGTACTTCTCGCATTTCTATAGATATTTACAATAGCTGTCAAACTCCGTTAAGTCCTATTTTCGTCAACACTTGGAAGATACTTTTTGAAGGGCATCCTATCGCATGCTTTCTCCTTATCAGCAAATAATAAATGTGCAGATAGGTCCTGTGCATTCTTTTATTCGATAACTTGTTGAGGTACAAATCTGTTGTCCATGCATGATCTTCTTGCGCGAAACTTATTTTGTTCTTCAGATTCAGACTAATTTTGTATAGCTACAGCGAAAGGTTGTAAATGTAAACAGTTGGCCTCCGGGAAGAGAAAAAATAATTACAGTTGGCATAAATGAAAAGAACATTTATTAAGCCACGAACAAGATATAAAATATACTTTGTATGCTGAAACTCCATAGTCACAGACCAACATAAAAATAAAATAAAAAAAAAACATTAAATTGTGTTGAATACTAGTATCATACAAGAAATACATATGATTTACTAAAAATTCCCCAACCAGGAAATAATTCATTGCTACAATGTTGGACCTTTCTATGGCCAAGATGTTATAACCTTCTACCACCTGAAATAAAGAGACAACAAACATTAACAAGTTTAAAATGGAGTTAAAGAAATGGATAATATCTGCTTCTCGATCTAAAATACATCAAGCTATCGACCTAAAGAATACTTATGTGGAATAGACTGTTCATATTTCAGGAGCCAACAAATTAATGCATTACTTACCTTTACCATTCAGGATGTTCACTTACACTTCATATTTAATATTGAGATATTATGTATATGTTGCAAATGCATGTACACAAAAGATGAATTGTATGTTCGTTTATGTTGATATATTAATGAATGTGTCATCATTACATGTTTAGGTTGTGTAAGGAATAAAAATTTGATGTATAGTGAATAGTCACATGGTCCATGCATAAGGAACTTGTATTCCTTTCTATGGGATCGTTCGTATTTATCGAATGTCGTTTGTAAACATTTTCAATAAATATTGTTATTATTCAATTTTTGTTTCAGATAATTATATCGAATTTGAAAGGTCTGCTAATATACCTCATGGGTTCACCAATAGGTCTGAAATTAAACCACGCTTTCAATAGATCGCTGGGGCAATTCTTTTTCTATCACATTTCTCTTTGGAGACTATTTCTGCATGGAATCCAGCCTTTATTTGCCAACAACTTCAAGTTGATAGTATTGCCAGGAATTTTGGGATTCTCGTTTCAACTGGCTATGATTGCAGATATCATTTCTATAGCTACATTCCATGTATATTGTATCTATGTTTATGCTGCCAGGTAATTTTAAAAACAAAATCTACTAAAATTAGCACTCGAGATAGAAATTGTAAACAAATTCCGAACATTCTTGATATAAAACATTTTTAAAAGTCTCCGCGTTTCTGTACTTTGGAAGAAGCCTTAAATCAGATACGTAGATTCTGAGTTCAAAGTAAATGACGGGGCTGCTGATCGATTTATTCTCTACCTTACATGCAATCCCTCGGTATTTTCCGATTTTGTCACCGTCATATTCCAATTCAGCTCCCCAGGATACCTAAATGGACGAACTTTCATTCGTTTGTAACAATGGAAAACGACAATGGAAATTTTGCCCTACAGTTAGGCATTGGGATCCACGGGGGTCCCAGAAGCAGACTTAGTCGGAGGTCAGACCATATAAGAGGTGTTGAAAAAGTAACTATTCGTTACTCGAGTACTCGTTAGTCAAGTATACAAGAAGTAACGAGTATCAATCCGAGCACGAAATGATTACTTTGATTACTCTGTTTTCCGTAACGGCACCCGTTTCACGTACAATCGTTGAGTGGCATCGCTGGTTTCTGCTATCTTAAGGCATCACTGTAGCACTGCCGCTCATGCATCGGGATTGCCAGACATCCCACATTCGGGTGGAAACCTGGAAACTCCAGCTTTAAAAACAACTACTCGTATCAAATTCTATATCCGCCAATCAAAAATAATGAAGTGTACCTATTTACACCGTGACTCAAATTCGCTCTTATTGTTGTGATCTGGGCAACCTGAAAAGGGATAAGGAGTCGATTGGATTGGAGCAAAGTTAGCAGTATTATGAGTCAGAAAAGCGACAACAGTATCAATGTTCACGAAAACCACAATAATAAAAATTATGTCGATATGATTCGTCCTACATTTTGCTAAACACTTATAATTCAGAATGACCACGAATAGTATGTGTAGACTAAGGTCCATGTAGAATTTTTCATACTGGTATATGCTTAAATGAAATGCTTCGAAAAGTTACTTAAAATTCCGGATTTCCTTACATATATACAGATCATCTTTCAAACTAAAAGTGATGCTTTTTAAGCATTCCTAGTATTTTCAGTTTTTAGACTCATATGAGTCCTATGACACCCTATCCGATAATAACCCATCTGGTTTTCCATAAAGTTTGAAGATACGATGTTTGCATTAAACAAGGCAGATTTGAATAAACTATGCTTGAAAAATTTTTCAAATTTTGAGATTGTCTGTTTTCTTACAAGATAATATAGTCGGTTCCATTGAAGTTGTTCAAATTCGACATTAATTAGACGACGCGCGTTGCCAAATTGTTATAGGTACTCATAGTAATCAAAGTAACGAATACAATAAATGATTACCTTGCAGAAGAGTAACGATTAGTAACGAATACTCGAAAACGAGAATCAACAACATTAGACCATATCCCTTGTTATACTTGTGATGACTAGTATTCATGGTGACACTGTACAACTAAACATGCCATTTCGTAAATGTGATCAACATCTAATTAAGGCTAACTAAAACAGCTGTTTCATGCTTTTTGCGAAATAAGAGATCTATCGAAGTAAGACTGCACAAAGCCCCATCTGAGGCTGACTGACAAGCGATGGCTGCTTACACTCTCGCAGTGTAACAGATGGCGCTTTGTGCTGTTTTATTTCAACATACTGTATATTTCTTAGGTTATTCAATCTCCAGCTTCGAGGGATAGTATCTTTATGGCGACTGTTCATCGGTCGAAAGTACAATCCTCTCAGAAATAGGGTAGACTCGTGCAAATATTCTTCAAATCAACTGTCAATTGGAACTATGGGCTTTACAGTACTACTCTTTCTCTTGCCGACTACCACGATGTACTACGCTGTTTTTTCTATGGTATGTAGTATTCAAGTTATCACACACTGTCTGCTTGGAATAATATATAATTCTAGTAACATTTCGCGTAAGTTTCAAGTTTGGTAACTATAACCTGTAGATTAACTAACGTCTTAACTATCGTGTTCTGCAGGGTTTATGTCGTGTTATCCGTTCCACCTCATGTCACTGTCAAGTAAAAATGGTTAGGCATTGTGATTTAACTACAACTTATTTCTTTTCAACCCGTAGATGGGCTTTTGGTTGAAGTTACCTACCGTCTTCGGACAATCCTGGCTTTGAAAAACGAATTTTGAAAGTTAACTTCTGGATAGAAGTGGAATTATAGTTGATCACATGTTTTGAGGATTATATGTTTTCATAAAGCGGAGAGCACCCATTTATATGGTAAAACTTTACCAAATCAGAAATTATTCTTAAAACCTGTAAATTATTACGTAGCTGTTTCTTGAGACTGCCACCAGCATCATGCTATGAAATTGCTTGTATATTTTCAAGTGCAGAATATCCTAACTTTTTGAATGTATGTCCTAAAAGTTTTGGCACAAAATTCATTGGCTTTAATTTTAACAAACACCAAATAATATCAAGTTGCCTTTTGGAAACAAAAGTTCACTTACTTTACTGTCAGTTGACAGTTTTTATTTTGAAGTTTTCGCTTTAAGATGTATAAATTAGAAATAAGGAAAAATATCAACAAGTGGGAGGGGGGGAAATGCTATAAAAAAGATTTAATAGCGTCATTTCAAGCGACAGGAGTTGCGCCATTTGATCCTGAGCGAGTCTTGCAGAAGATCCCAAGTGACGCTATTGGCAATGATACCGATGGCACTGAGAATAACGTTCTTGTGAAGTACTTGGAACAACAACGTTTTACAGCAGTTCCAACAAGAAGGAATATTGAAAGGAAAAAACTGTTGGTAGAACCTGGCAAAAGCGTAACAGCATGTATTGATGAAGATTCTAGCGATTCAGATGTAGATCAGCCATTAACCAATGACAACTCCGACGACAATCTCCTAGCAGATACAAATGACTATGTCGGATCAGAGACAGAATATTTCGAATCAGAAGAAAATCAAGTTGCGGCTGGGAAATTTGTGCTAGTTAAGGTTTACGGTGGATCAAGAAAGAAAACAATCTATCGGTACACAGCTATTATAAAGCAGGTGAGATTGGAGGAAGAAGGGAAAAAAGAAATTGACTTACTGGGTATGAAGTCTGTAGACAAATCAAAGAAGATTTTCGCAGTTGAAGACGGTGACGAATTTGTAACAGATATATCTTATGTGTTAGCCATTTTACCAAACCAGTCACTAAAACAAAGTGATGGTATCGACAAGTACTTCTTCGAAAGAGTTATTGACGTTTTTGAAATGAAGTAGTTTGTGACTCTGCTTTCAAGTTCCGTTTTCTTTTTGTTCAAATTTGTGTATTTTAACTTTTATAACTAATAAAGGTTTCATAACAATTATCAATTTGTCTTAATTTGTGAGCAAAGGTCAATTTATGATAAATAAATCCCATGATCAATCTCACCCACCCTGAACAATTTCACCCCCAACAGTTCAAAAAGCTATAACTTCTAAAATACTTGACATAGAACAAAGGCCGTGAGATTGATCATCTATAGTATTGTCTGCTTACTTCCTGTGCAGCATAGTATGTGTGAACAATCTCACCCCAAAACGTGTATGAGATTGTTCACGACTTTATTCCTGTATATTTCGTATACTTTAAAATTGAAATTCGTGATATTTTACTGTTCGATTCCTATAAGCATTTTCTATATATTCACACCTCTTCTAAAAGATTGTTCCTAATAACCCGAGAAAAAATATGAGAAAACAACTAATTTTCGATCAATTCCACCCCAAATGATGGTATCCAAATTGCTTCATTTTGTCGATGAACATCATGTTAATGACCTTATTGAGTATTGAATTAAAATGTCAGGTGATGAGGATTAAGTTCAGGGGTGAATCAGAAAAATATTCAGAATCTTATAAACAAGAATGACAAAAGAAGTTTCAATGATGGTTGTAAAGGAGTTTGCAGAGCGACTAGTATGCTCATTGTACAAGTTGTAATAAAGTACTTGAGATTTTTTCAGTGACCCTCTAAAAAATCTGTGTTATTTAAGCGCAATACAAAAACATGCAAAGTTCTTTGATCCATCGCTGATATTGCTAAGGCCGTGATTTTTTCCTCGTGCGGATTTTGTCCTTGAATTTTTCAGAATTTCAACGATACAGTCTGCCGATTTCATTGCATATTTGACCAATAATCGGTGTATTTGACATGGTTGCTAGTTATTTAGACAGCCTGGCCTCAATTTTGTCCTGTTAGCAATACTGAACGATTTACATCAAATATGCGCATGATGTTTTACGTAGTTATTTTGTTTTTCAGTTTCGACTTCTGATCTTGTCGGTGACTGGACTTCTTCAAGGCATGAGGTATTTATTGAATGCCCTGCCAATATATGTGATGTGTCTTTGGATAGTAAGATCATCCTCCATCGCAGGTACGTCATTTTCAACCACTACTTTTAATTTTCTTTTGCTTCAACTCAACTGTTCTACGAGTCCGATTTTGTAAGTAAGAACCGATTGCGCGTCCTGTCAGGTGACCCGCCGATTGTGAAGTATGCTCAGTAGTTCGGTTTTTAACTCAAAAAAATCCTCCTACTGTTCACCAGAAGCTTGTCGAATTGGGCGCGCTATACAAAACCGGCGGTGCAGCCTTTCATCTAGTAGAGTCGTTCTACTCCACGACAACACTCGGCCAAAAGTTATGGTAAGAACTCGGCCTAAACTAGACAAGTTCCTTTGGGAGTCATTGGATCGTTCACCATCAGAGGTCGCCGTTATTTGACGACGGGATCCAGAAGTTTGTGCCATTACTTGACAAATGTTTCAGTGGTTAATAATAAAAAATTTCATATTTCGGTTTGTAATACAACTTACTTTCATGAATAAAGATTCTCTGACTCCATTACAAAACGTTTCTTACTTTATTAAATTATTCTGGTATGGTAGCTGCTTATAAGATTTGGAATATTCGCATCTGCGTTTTACATCAAATACCCTGCCGATCTACATTTTTCCCGCCCAATGCACAGTTTAAAAAAGTAGTGAAACTAATTGAGACAACGTTCTGTAATTTCAAAGTATAATATTTGTCCCTTTTTTTCACAGGAACAGTATACATAACTTGGAAGAGCAACGAGGATAAGGTAGTTTTAGAAGCGCGATTGAATCTACTACCTCTAATGTGCACTATTAGAAAATTTACTCCGGACAGAGTGAGTTATACCAGGCACAATCAACTTAGCAATTTATTTCAATGTGCTTTGACGGGTCGTTTAATGTGAATAGATTCGACATATTCTTTGTATTAATGTTATGAAATAAAGTTGTGATATTAAACCAGAAACGATATTTTCTAAAAAAACTGCCGTATCTCTTATCTAAAAAACTATATCAAATGACGGAATCATACATATATTTTAAAGTTTTTTTTCACGCATTTTCTTCATTGCATTTTCAAGTCGCTCAGAGGTATATTCAAGCTTAGGCCAATAATTCCTGTCGGTTCAACGTTTCAAGCTTCTCTAACTTCCATTATTGTAGTATTTGGTGACATATCGTCTAACGCCTCTTTCAATTCTTGTCGAATTATTGTTCCAAATATCTATTATCATCGACTAGCGTTAGGTAGATACATCTTTCATTGATACCCTGTCAAAATTTCATATCAATCGAACCACTTCTTGCCGAGTTATCGCGCACAGCATCGGTCCAAAAATGAGCATCGAACAAAGGGCCAATATTAAGTTCTGTGTTAAACTTGGTAAAACGTTTACTAAAACGCATCAGATGTAGATGCAAGTATATGGTGATGATTGTTCGTCTCGTAGCCGAGTTCACGTGTGGTTTACACGGTTCAAAGAGGGTCGTAGGCTGCTGGAAGATGACGAACATGATGACCAGCCAAAATTTGTGAGTACGCCAGAAACCATCGAAAAGGCGCGTAAATTTAACAAAAATTATCCACAATCTTCATTGAGATACATAGAAATGGAATTAAATATCTCTAAATATTCAATCCATCGCATTTTGACCAAGAATTTGAGCATACGAAACGTGTGTTCACGGTCTGGATTACTCTGCATCATAGAAGCTAGCAGCGAAAGTGTTAAAAAGGCCAAAAAAGACAAAAAACTGCCTATACAACATTGTGACGTGACGAAACGTGGCGTTTTCAATACGATCCCGAAACCAAGCGTCACAGTGCCGAATGGAAGCAACCAAGCGAGCGAGATACGAAAAAAAGCCGTTTGGAAAAGTCCAATGTTGATTTGTTTCTACGATTCGCAGGGAATTATTCACAAAGAATTGGTTCCACTGGGCCAAAATGTTAGTGCTGGTGTTACGAGGCGTTTGCTGTCGCGTATTCGTCGTGCTCAGCCAGAATATCGCGACGAAGCAAGCTGGCACTTGTTGCACCATTTCATCGATAGACGCTTGTGTCCAATTTTTTGACAAAAAATGGCGTTTTAGCATCAGCCACTCCCCATATTCTCCTGATATGGCACCGTGTGACTATTTTCTTTTCGGTAAAGTACATTTGGTCATGAAGAGACAGCGGTATGCCGACGTAGAGGCCATCCAAAATACGTCGACGACCATCTCGATCAATGATCTAAAAGCATCATTCGGAAATCTTTTGGTCCGTTAAAATCGTTGTATTAACTCTGAAGGAGACTATTTTAAATGAAATAAATTCGATTGTTGTTCATTTTTTCTTTGTCCTATTTACTTTGCGACAGACCTTGTATAATTCCACTATTTCAAGTTAAAAGCTATGAAGATAGGAGCCAAGGGTGACAAAAAGTGAAAATTCAGAGTACTCTTTATGATTTACTTGTTATCTTTAAAAACTCTTATAGATATTATTTTATTCAACAATTTACAGATGTTGCACAAAAAAGATAATGAAAAAATTACTTAGCAACTAAATATATAAATAAACTTACTTTATTCATGTCATCAAACAAATGACATAAAAAAATAAAAAATCACACGTAACCAAATTCACAATAATATATCTCCATATTAAAGGAATTGAGATGTTCCCTTTTCGGTTTGCTAAGACTCGATTATAAAATATTATGCGGTAGGAACTATTAAAATATAAAAGTGGACAATACTAAAGGTAACAAAGCTCAATAATTGTCACAGATCATTGTATCACAATTTCTCCTTCACAAAACTATGTTGTATTGCAGTTCAGTCAAAGTTAGTTATCTGCATGCAGGACTACAAAAAGCTATACCAAATGTTGGAAACACTTGCATTCTATATGCACAAAGTTTCGTAACGAATTGAGAAGTACAAAGTTTCCCAGAGGGAACATGTTTTCGAGATGTATGCAAACAAAATATGTGCCTGAGGAAGGGCTGCTTATCCAAAAGTTGTATGAAAAGGATATTTTCGTCAAACATGTCGCCTGTAGCGCTACACAAAATTGGTGTATAAGTTACATATGTATGAATCACCCTGTATAATAAAATATGCAATGCTATCTTCCCATATAAATAAAAATAACGCATGCATAATTCTCGTGAAATGTTTACCAACAACAAAAATAAAAGCAATAAAAAATTGAATATGTTCAGGTCACTTATAATGAGAAATATTTCATATATTATCAATTTGGGTAGATAACTAAGTTTGAGATAACTGATACTTTTCTAGAATCAACATCAGACAGTTACAATCAACATGTAATACTTATTCAATATTTTAGTATGAGTATTTTCGCTTTTCCTTTCAGCTTCATCATAAAACCAGAGATCATCTACAGCATAATTTTTTATAAATACAGTTCGTTTGAAATATGCGCCGAGATTAAAAATATAATATTAAATGTTTCTCATTTAGTTATTCCTTGGATATATAGGCGCCACACTGTTTTTTCTGCATCTTCTGTCAACATTACAAAAACGTGTTAGGGACATAGAATAAGAACGCTAAATGAGTCGCGATTTTGTAAGCATTGGTCTATCGAGTAAATTCGTTTTTCGAAGCATAGCGCAAATCATACGAACTTGAGCGGCCAATAAATTATAGTTTAAAAAACTAGAAAGACTTTTAATAGCTTTAATAGCAAATCGAACTGAAAAGAGTAGAAAGTAATTTTCAAGTTATGGAGGGTGTGTTACTGCAGTAAAAAGTCCAACAATCAAGTATAATAAAAATTAAGATTTAATTACAATTGTGACTATTTTAGAAATGTGCCCTCGGATATCATATATAATAACTAAAGGTTTTCTTTGATATTTTTTTTTATTTAGGAGCATGTTTAGAACGCACTGTATGTCATGGAAACGACTACTAACAGCCCATGAGAACTTTCGATCCGGATGCTCTGGAGAGTTTGCTCCCAAATTTTAATCAAGATTCACCGGGACTGATTTCCGTAAAGTTTGTGCCCCCCTTTTTCAAAATTTCTCAAACTTTATTTTCCAAATTACAGCATTTTTCAATTGTTTTCCATATTTTCAAATATTTTATTCCAAAGTCCAAAATTCAAATTGTTTAAAAATGTTCAAATTCAATTTTTTTCCAAAATTAATGTAATACCATCGACCCTTGATCGATGTGCAAATTTTCAAGATAATCAGACTTCTTGAAATTAGGTTGAAAGATTCCGTTACATTCATAGAGATCAAGCTAATAAAAGCGTGTTAAAGCCATCGAACCTCGCAAACGTTACAGTCGCTTTAATTTGCTCTATTTGTACAGAAACCTGCGATTCTAATCTCTACATTCTTGAGTAGTTCTTAGTTATGATTGTTCCAATCGATCGTGAAAAATGAGCTAAACGCGGCGGCCATGATGTCGAGCCACTGCCTCACCGTCATCGTTATCAACGTCGTGATCACAGAAATTGCCCTAACAGTGCACAGTCAAAAAGCGTTAAAATCGCGACGGTTTTAGCGTTCGTCTGACACTTTAAAAAATGATTAAATCAAAGTGTTTGCGTGTATGTATGTAAAGTTCAAAACTACACATATTACTACATAAAATCGTTCCAAGTAAATTAGTTAAAAATAAATTATAAACTATAACTCAGGAGCACCACACTCACCGAAGGTCAGTTGTCGATAGATCTTTATAATCGTATTTCGATTTCTCTAGTTTACGTTCTAAACCCTAAAAGGACAATACACATAGTTAATAATGAAGTACGTCACTACAGTTAGAGTAACATTTAACGGCTTCCTTTGAAATAATGGATCTCTCTTTGGAAACTGGAACAATGACGCAAATAAACCAAATCGTCCCAATTTTATCATCAAAATGTCGAGTAGAAAGGACCTGCAAAGAAAAATCTTTCTGACACCGATGACAGCTTGTGATGACAACTCAACTGTTACAGCCTACTGTAGAATGAAACTTTAAATCGTCCCTCGTTACGTTCCTCACGGAAGCGTCATTGTTTCACTGTTTCCAAGGAGAGATCCAATGTTTCCAAGGAAGCCTCGAGGAAGGTTTATAAATCAGGCTCCAAGACAGTAAACCCAGTGGTGTACCTGAGAAGCTACAGACCACTCGCTAAACACTCAAATGGGTCCCTAATCAGGTACGCCTCTGACAAAATCCCGAGAACACATACAACATTTGAGATTATGGAGCTACCATTTAGAAAATAATCCAATTCTATTATTTGTTGAATTCCTGTAACTCTAGATAGTCTATTGTAAATCTGTATAGTGGCCTAAATATGGAGTACAATACAAAGGGTACTATAACAGTTTTGCAATACAGCTTTATTTATTCCCTTCGTTCAATGTAATTTCCACCACAGTCAACACACTTCTCCATCCGCCAAAACCAGTCCTTAAACCAGCTCTGCCAAGTGTCACCCGGGAGTGCGGCACACTAGTTGTCCCAAGCCCTCAAAAGGTTCTGTTCGCTCAAAACAGTTTTCCTTTTAGCTTCATTTTCGCAAGCAGAAACAGTGCAGGCAGCAAGATCTGGACTGTAAGGAGGGTGCTCAATAAGTTTCAGTCCAGTAGTCGTAAATACTCGGTGCAGGCTCTGGAGCGGTGAGCTGGTGCGTTGTCATGGTGGAGATACCAAGTGTCCATTCTTGACAGCTACGGGTGTGTCCTCAACATCAAAGACCCAAACTTTGTTTTGAGACTTGGTCGGCACATCGCAATAATATAACCAAGTCTCCTCACCTGTCAAGATGCTGTTCACATACCGAGATTGCCCCTTATCAAACATTTTCAGCATCTTTCGGCACCAAGTCGTACGACCAGCCTTCTGCTCTTCCGTCAGACAATGCGGTACCCAGAGAGAACAAGTTTCCTTACGTGTAACTGACCATGCAGAATTGAATGAATTACTAGTGCGTGAAGGTGTAAGCTCTCCACTATCTGTTGGTATGTCACTCTCCGGTCTTCGTCAAGCATTTTCCTCACAGCAGTAACGTTTTCCTCTGTTACTGACCTTCGCGGCATTCCTTCCCTCTCAGCGTCCTCCAGAGTGAAATTGCCCTTTTCAAATTCTCTGTACCACCTGAATATAGTCGTACGATGAGGTGAATCATTATTTAATGCAAGCGTCATTTCTTCTAAGCACTAGTCTATGCTTAAACCACGCGTACAGTTATACCGTACAACTGCCCTTATCTCACTACGTGACCACGATGTCATAGTCGGTACCTTACACTGTCAATACGCCTGAACTAAATCAACAGGCGTGCTGGCGGCTCCTGTGCTCTCATGGACATACCTCAACATGCAACCTCCTGCGTGCGTTTGTTAAGTCATATTGCAAAACTTTTATAGTACCCTTTGTACAACTGGCAACATGGATAAAAAGCGCAACTGACTGTAAACTATTAGCAGTTATACATGATCACATCGGACATTTTGACATTCTACATAACTTCATTTTGCCTGGTTGCCAGTTGTATTTTTCTACGTATACAGGTTGTTCCAATTGTCCGTGGACATAAGAATAGAAGTACCACGTATTTTTAGACTCAAAATAAGTCGATTGGACATGATTCGCCTCCATGCAAAAGTGCTTTGTTTGACCGTTAGAGGGCGTCACAGTTTTCCTTTTATTAATACATTTTTTCAGATATTTTTGGAACCGATAGTCCGATTTGAAAGAAATTTGGAACACGTGTTTTGCTAGGGGTTCGAGAAAGGTGAAAACTACCCCCATCCCTATATAAGTTATAGCAACATTTATTTGCAACACTCCCAACGACTTTTTTATTTAAAATATCATTATATTGATTTCACTTTTCGTGTCTTATAAAAACAGGCCATGTCGCATAGTTGTTGAGAACAAAATGTTTTTCGGAGCCTGTTTTTAAAAAAATTTCTTATTACATCAAGTGTTAAGATCTAGTAGGCATCTGTAGATTTGGCCCAGCCTAGGCTCAAGATTCGTCAAGCGATTGATATATTTGTTTAAGATTTATTTAACATGATTGCTAGAATTACATTCTTCTAAACAACTACAACAATTAACAACAATCTCTAAGAATTTTCACTGTCCATGAGATATTCTTGTAATTTTCTTTTAAAAATCTTTAAATTACAAGTAGACTTTATATCATTATTTAGTTTATTAAATTCAAGTAATCCTTTCTGAAATATTGATTTGCTAGTTATATTACTATTGCAATTTTGTAAATGAAAATCTATATTTTCTCTTGTATAATAATTGTGATTTTTTATTTTGAATAAAAAAATAAGAATCAAATGATATGATTTTTTTATATTCAACCACTGCAATTCTTGTAACATAGGTTTTATTTTTGTGTACTTATTCTTATTCAGTATTATTCTTATAGCTTTTGCAGGACTTGTAATTTTGAGAATACAGCTTCACTGGTAGTGAACAACATACTTCAACAACATGGTAAATGCGGTACAACAATTGTAATAAACTATTTCTTTGGAATATGTACTAAGACTATGAGAAGTCCTATAAAAGTAATTTGTTTTTTTTTTTGCAATTTTTGAAATAATGTATTCATAGTGATCCTCAAACTTTACTATCAATATAATATACCTAAATATTTAATGAATTCAAAATTTTTTCACCATTTATCCTAACTGAGATAGTATTTTCATTTAGGTATAGCCTATTAGCATACATTTTGTTTTAGAAGCATTCAATTAAGGTTTATTTATATTTAACCAGTTTATGATTTTTGCCAAGTCAGAACTTAGCATTTTTAAAGCAGTGTCTATATTTTCATGTGATATGTATACTAATGTACGAATTTTACAATAATCTAAAATATTACAAATGTCATTAATGTATAAAATAAATAATAGTGGACCTAGTTTACTACCTTGTGGTACACCAAAAGAAATAATTTTTGAGCTTTTGGCTTTATGACTTGACTGTCAATTAATTAGTTTTGTAGAATTTTGAATACAGATCCTTTAAATCCATAGTGATGCAATTTTGTAATTAATTTATCCCTAACAATAGTTTCAAACGCCCTTTAGAAGTCCAACTGTGACTGTATGTTTAGTATTGTCCATACATCTCCTTCAGTCCTCTAACACCATTTGCATTACCGTTTCAGTTGAGTGTTTTTTCCTCATTCCAGCTTGAAGTACCACAGCAGCTGGCTGTAGCCGGCCGCCTGGTTGTGGTTAGATGTCGCCTTGAAAATTTGAGGACTTCTAGCGATTTTGTACTACAATGTGTTGGCTCAATTCGTCTGTTGTATGCCATTTCCTTTCATCTACTACTTTTTTCGTTTAGCTATTGCTAATATTAATATTATTAATAATTATTATTATCTATTTGGCAGAAAACGTGGGATGTTATGTTAGTGACGGATTATTTTTGACAACAAGAAATTGCTAAAACTAGAAATTTGATGGTGGATGGATTGGTAAAGATCAAGAAGTTAATGTTCAATGGCCACCTCGTTCATCGGATTTTAAAACAAAGGTATACGAGGATCTGATAGACAACGCCCATCAACTATGGGACAGGATTCAAAATGTTGCAGATATGTATATTGAAGAGAAATAATTTTTTTTCGCGGTGCTGTTATGTGGAGGAACGAAAATGGTGGTCATTTTGAACGCATTTTATGAAAGATTCGCAATACGTAGTAATGTCATGCTTATTTTTGCTAACAACACTTGCAGAGTTAATAAGACGCTTGGAAGCCTCTTAATGCATCTTTTTTTCTCGAAAACTATCCGAGATGCCCTGTTTTCACAGCAGATAAAAGTGAATAAAATGCTAAATAAAAAAACTCTGACGCCCTCTAACAGACAAACGAAGCACTCTTGCACAGAGATAACTCACGCCCAATCGACTTATTTTGTGTCCGAAAATACGTGATACTTCTATGTCCACGGAATATTGGGACACCCGGTATATAAGTACGACACTAGCGCTACAGCGATCAATCAACTGTTATACTAAAAATGTATATCTAAACCCATCTCGGACATTGACAAATGCAAATCCTGGAGCTTAGAAAGTCTAAAATCGTGGAAATGCGACATCTCACTGGATGCAGATTTCATAATGACGATGAAGGAGTACAGAAAAGTAAGGTCAGGATTTGCAATCGTCACTCAAAGCTCACGCAGAACTCAAGGTCTAGTTAGCTCTCAAGGCTCTCTTAGGACTTAGGTGACGACTTTAAACACAAGCCTTAATCTTCCATCTACTTCTTAAGCGCCGTCTTTTAAAAATTAAGAGTATCATAACGCACCTAATTTGTTGTTAATGCTGGCAGATTTTGCACTGCTGACAACACATTCGGTGCATTTAATTTGTCCACATTTTGAGCACAGCCACCTCGTCAACTAAAAGCAACAACATGCACAAAAAGAATCACATGCAAAAAACTAAAGAAAAAACTACCCAGTATACATGCTAAAGAAGCAACACTGAAGTATCAATTTATCAGAGTTATCATCAAGTGTTGATTGTTGATTTTTTCATATATTTGACAGCCGAGTCTCAAGTTGAATTGTGATGCTTCTTTAGGGTATAATTCAGTGCGTTCAGACTACTATAAATACTACCGTCAAAATCAATATTTTACATTTGTAGAAAACACAAACGGTTTTGACTGTACTTCAAATACACGAAAAAATAACGCCAATAGACTACTGTGCATGAAAAGAAGATAATTGGACAATAAAATAGAACCACGGTTACTGTTTTCAAGTCCTACAAATAAAGCAATAATCATATATAGCACAGTTACACCAGTTGGTCTTATACAATGGCCCTTGCACCGCTAGTAACGAACTTCTATAAGAATGAAAATATATGTACAACTGACAACCTGGCAAGAGTGTGATAATGTAAAATGCCAGAATAAAAGCATCAATAATCAAATTCAAGCGGATAACCAAATGGAAATGGTATTTACCATTTTGGCTTGGTATTTACCAATCCGTTCAAGCGAGTGTAGTTATCAGTTTGGTTATAAGATCCGTGACGTCACGAATCAGCTGTTATATGTCATAGTTATCACCGCAAAATTGTGGTATTTACCCAACTCGAAAGTAGTTTTATATTTCTGGTTATTATTTGAAATGTGACAAGTTAGAATTTTGCCGTGTATTGGATATTGTTATTGTACTTCAGCTTCATATTTGAGAAAATTGATACAGGCTGACTTCTGTTTTACCATAAAGTGGAGCACCTTATTAGTTATACTCATTACGGTTGTTGGGGACACTTTAAATGTAGTTCCTATGCTTAACAAAGTATCCTGTGTAGCCATATACCACAAGAATATTAAAATATGGCCATATAAACTCACTAGATGATATCCTGTATACGGTTTTGCAAATTTCTTTTTTCATCGTTTCTGCTGAATCAATAAATGTTTTCTTTGACACGCGGAAAAATTTAGAGAATTGAAAGTTATCATAGCTACAAAGCCATGGTTCCATCATTAAAAAAAAAATCTGAAAAAATCATTTCTCCCATGAATATTATGAAAGGTTTCTTATTTAAACTTTCCATATACAGTTGTAGACGAAAAAGCACCGATTATTAAGTGATAATAAAAATAATCAGAGATTATATACGCGCTTTTCTAAAATAAACAACTTGCAACAAAACCGCGGTTAAAACCAACGCGTTCAAGCGATTCGTGTAACTGACGTCATCAACCCGTGTGTCATCTTGAATCATATTATAACCGCAGTACGTAACACAGAAATTTTGGTTATTCGCTTGGATTTGATTAATGCCATCAATCTAACCGAGGCTGTAGGTTACAACAACATACTGTCAGATATCAGTTGCACTCGGGGGTAAAACGTCTTATGAGCGAACTGGTAACGCCAAAGACATCCTCTTCAGGAAAAATAAAGGAAACTGCATTACCAGCATCTAGTCACGTGATGCTTGCCGGGACTCCCTTATCTTTATCTGAATGTATAACTACCAAATATAGCGTTTGTTTTGGTTAACATCCACATTATCTGATGCTTTCGAAGATACTTCGTTAAAAAGGAGTATAGAATATAAAGCAACACTATCAGTAGCTGTCATGGTTTACGTGAAATGTTTTGTGACTATTGTGTGGGAGATATAGAAGTTCAGGAGACTCTAACATAAAGTGTTACAGGTAGGCTGTAAGCTTAACATATCGGCGTGATGTATTAGTTGGTAGATTATTTAAAATTACATGGAATCAGGATCCTTATAATCCTTGTAATTGGAACCGTTATATAAAGTACAAAAGCTTTTGTGTACTGACATCCTTATTTAAATAACACGTAATATCGGCAGAGCACAGTCATAAAGCTGTTTTATACAGCAAAATTCTGCCTATCTAGGCCAACAACGTTGAACTGAACAAACTAATGAAAAGTTACTAGCTTATTTACAAAGATTGTATAAATTATATTAGTGTTTTCTGTATTGTTTCAGAATTACCAAGAAGCAATTGAATCAAGTGAGGCGCCCGTGTTTTGCAACACATGAATTTGGGTAAAATCTACCTACACTGAAAACCAAATACAACTGAAGTAATGTGTATGAGAGTGAACCGTGCAATATGTGTGTTAGAAATAGACAGAAGCACCTCGTTGCCTAGCAATACGAGTGACGAGGCCACGGACGCCATCGGCGTACTCTTTCTAACATACATATTGGACGCTTCTTCTCGAACACATTACGTCAGCCAACTTTGAACCTCACCGTATTTTCAAATAATACAATTTTTATACCATTGTCAAACAAATAAGTTTACAGCGTGTGATTATTTGTTGAAAATAAATGCATTTTGTACACCATAATTAGTATTAGATTTTATCATTCTGAAACTTGTTCCCAGCAAAACTGCTGAAAGAGATATTACCCTTACTGGGAATATTTTATGGATATACGTCCATGAAATAATCCTTCAATATCGGAAATACTTTCAACAGATTTCAAATTACACACACAAACGAAATCCCTGGCACATTCCTGACATTCCTTATTCCAGCACTCTTTCAATAGTTCCTCCAGATCTCCAGGCAAGTAGGCGGCACCACCATCTGACAAACGTCAATGGTGTTGCCATAGTTTAACGGGCAGTACCCACTTTTTCAGTATTATATGTTCTGTGGTCGGATTTTTTCCTCCAATTTGCAGGGTTGTATTTCCCTCCATATAAAAGTGCGATACTAGTGCTTCGACAGGCATTGTACAAAGCCAATACCGCGTCATATTATGCAAAACTTCTCTAGATTATGTTAAAGCACAATTTACAGCACACTTAAAGGCTGTATCGTCGGTCGTTCCTACAATTGTAGGACGCCTTCATGGCCTCCTTGATTTTTATAGTTTTCTACTCTTCCGTGTCAGCGCTCTATTTTGAGGTTATGTTCCAAATACCTATTTGCATCAAATTGTCCATTCTTTTGATTTATATCATCTGTTATATAGCCTGAAGTCTCCCACAATTCAAGAAGAAAACATAGCCTGACAATAGGAAAGCGCTGACGCTGACACGGAACAGTAGAAATCTAGAAATATCCCAGTCGTTCTGAAGGAGAGAAAAGAGTATGGAAATCAAGGAGGCCATAAAGGTGTCCGCGTCCTACAATTGTAGGAACGGCTGACGATATGGCCCGTAGACATTAAAAATGAACCCACATAACATAAGCGCCGATTATGGACATAATTTTACTTACTCCAACTTTCCTAATAAGATCGCTTACAATATTCAAGGCCATTACTCGTGACGCTGGAGATATTGTTGCTTGGAAATCATCTGAAATAGAAGTTTAAACGTCGATCTTTTCGCCATTTAATTTCAATGTAATTTTGTCTGTGTTTTGTGCAATTATATTTTACAATGTGTGCATAACGGCCTGGCCACAGAGCATTCGCCACAGCGAATATTCGCGCGGTGCGAACGGCGAAGTGTCCAGCGACTGAAATAAACGCATAGAAATAGCCACGCGCAGCAGCGAATGCGGGTGAGTTAAACAAAGGCATGCATCAGTTACGGCGCACGCCACGGAGTCGAGCGGCCGTCGCGGCGAACGTCTGGCCACCCACACCTCACAAATAACATAATTATTGTGAAGTATTTTAATTTCATAAAATATTAATATACAGTGTGACATTTAATTAGCCAACCATATTTTGGGCAGTGATAGTTCCGAAAAAAATTAGTTACGAAAAAATTATGTTTGCGAGTACATGTTTTTTTGGAGAAAGTTGTTCATATTGATGGGTACTATCAATCCACAGGTAATTCTCTAGCTTATCACCACACCGGTTGTTTCTCGGTCCGAATAGGCACTAGGTTTGGGTTGTAAATGATGGAAATGAGATAAAAAAATGCCCGCAAATGTGTTAATTGCAGAATATTGTTGATATTATCTTGTTTTTAAAGGTATAAACACCTTCTTAATCACGTCATTTGCAGAATGGGACGGATCGTATACACACCGCAACGTTGCCGTATTTTAGAAATATACGAAAATTAATGAAAATACGTATTTCCCCGCGTAGCAGCTCTCTTTTTAGTCTGGAATTTGTGCCCCTTTAAGTCACCGCGCAATTATTAAAAATATCCATCAACACGAAAACCTATGGAGTATTGAAATCTGGCAACATCCCACAGTCTTTGAAAACAAACATTCAATAAAAACCTATTATATATTAGAATATTCCAGAACATTCATGATGGCGCTCATTTTAATTCCCATTTCTTTCATCTACACCCAAAAACTAGGTTCTGAAATGTTTTCATCAAAAACCACCAATCCCCAAAATATGTGCTAAGTAAATTTTATCCTTTATATACAGTATGTCCCAGATTCGCTTCTCTATACAGGGATCTCGGCTACTGTTATACCTACAGCAAAGGTTGAATGGGGAAAGTTTTAGAGGAAACTTAGTGCATTCGATAGCCGACTTCAGATTTACGATCGGTCAATTGGTTTTGAAAACGAAAAACCGACAATGTCGAATTTTGTTTTTTGGCAGTACGAAACGGTTAATTTGACAGCTGTCAAAATATGACATTAATGGGCATTTTTTAAGGCAAATAAGATAGGGTATATGACACGTCTCAATCGTCTTTTATTTTCCCGCAACCTGCCTCAACTTTAATTTTTCTTATGGCTGCCATATTGGATTTTTCGATTTTTGAAGAGATCGTAAAATTTTCCGCCTAGTGATGTCTCACAACTGCATAAAAGATTGGAGTATCATCGAAATATCATCACACGTAATGTTATGTACTAATTTTTTTCTAAGGAGGCCATGATTTATTTGTCAGAAAATAAAATTAATAAGTAACGCATTTTTTTCATCTAAGGAGGCTCTGACTTTGAGGTGGAATAATTCAAAGTATTAAAATTGTGTTTTAATACAGGGTCCGTCAGAAAGAACGAATGTTTTTTAAATGAATAGTACAGTCAAAATAAGTATGGGAAAAATATTTTATTATATCAAAATACTCAGAAACATATCTCAATTTTTTTTTGAGTAAAACAAAATTTACGTTCTACAAACTGTCGGCCATATGGCGACTTTGAGCCGAAATGCAGGAATCAAGCCACTCCCGAAATGAGCCCATTGCGTCGGCCAGCATCCGTGCAGGAATTTGGGTTACTTCTCTTCTTATTTCCTCCTTCAAATCGACGAGGGTCCGAGGCTTGCTCTGGTAAACTTTTGATTTCAGGTAGCCCCATAAAAAAAACACACGTTGACAGATCCGGGGAGCGATGTAGTACCCATTGGAAAAACATGCGCTCTTTCCCTACTCAGCAAAGTACTTGGAGATGTACCCCGAACGACGGCAGCCTCATAAAACCCAATTTAGAAGAATACTAGTTAATTTAAGAACATGGGGGCTTCGGACAACCTAGAAGCGGATACAGTTTTGAAAATGAAAATCGCGACAGAAACATTTTACAAGCTGTCGACGAAATCCCTAGTGCATCAGTAAGAACTATGGAACGAGAAATTGGTGTGTCAAAATCAACAGTACAGAGAGTGTTAAATAAGAATAAGTACCATCTTAAGGAAACTGATTTTCCAAGGCGAATGCGCTTCTCTGAGTGGTATAATGAAAATCCCGATTTTGTAAATCATGTCTTGTGGTTCGATGAGAGTAGGTTTACGAATTGTGGAGTTTTTAATAAGCACAACACTCATCATTGGACCGTGGAAAACCTTCCCGAAGTCGTAGAGAGACGTCTAACGTCTACAGACAAAATTTGAACTAACGGTTAGTGTGGGGTCATTGGTAATTTAATCTAACTTACCTGTTTTAATTGCCTATTTGAAATTAGGTATTAATTATTTCAGGAAATCGACTTATAGGACCAAATCAAAAATCCCAATATGGCGGCCATAAGAAAAATCAAAGTTGAGGCGGGATGCTGGAAAACAAAGACGATTGAGACATGTCATACATGCTATATATTATTTTTCTTAAAAAATGTTCGAATAATATCACATTTTGACAGCTGTGAAATTAACCGTTTCGGATTTATTAAACAAATTCACCCATTTCCGGTTTTTTGCTGATACTTTCAATACCAATTGACCGATCGTAAATCTAAAGCCCGCGATCGAAAGCACTAAGTTTCCTCTAAAAATTTAGCCTTTGCTGTAGGTATACCAGGAGTCGAGATCCCAGTATAGAGAAGCGAATCTGGTACACACTGTATGTAGATAAGTACATACCTTAATGTCAAAAACAATTTTTCAGCGACACTTTTAAAATTCTATCTGCATTGACTTTTTTCCAATTCTGGTTGAATATTAATTAGAATATAGTCGAAGGTTTCGACACTCATTCTGGTATACTCGAAAAAAAAATCTGCAAACATTCTGCATACTACGTACTTCTTGTGAAATTCTCTATCTCTACCCCGATCCTATTCAAATCATTTACTCCACAATCTCTTCCACATATTTGGTAGTGAACCAAAAACCTATTACTTTTTAAGCAATATCGGGTTAATGTTGATAAAGACATTTCACTCTCGGCATATACCGGTAGCAGCGGCGAACGTGACTGCCCGTGGCCGGAAAACTGTGCCGCGCGGATGGTCGCCCCGCCCGCCCCGTGGCCAAGTCACAAGTGTAATATGTATTTAATTGTCAAATAAAACTATATAATGTTACGGGCAAATTTTTGCCTCATAACCTTCGACAGTTTCCGGTAAACAGACAAGCAGAAGAATAGAATACATATTTACATGAAAACTTATTTATTAGTCAAATACTTACCCATGGATTTACCTTATTTAGATAAATATATTACTTCTGACACTATATGCTATATTTAATATGATAACTTCAAACGTATCTGTCATTTTATAAGCAATTTTAGGCGATGAACCGCGGTTATTTCTTGGTAATGCCCTTTTGACACAAAGCAAAGATCTGAGAACAGAGGGTTTAAACACGCAACTGTTTTGTGGTCCAACGTCAACGGTTATAAATATGTATAAGTAAACTGTGATATCAACAACCCACCTAATTACATTTGAAACTACACAAAAAACATGGATCCGTTTTTTTCACGGATATCTTTTTACAAATAATTATCATAGACGAATACAAAAGGCACAAAAGAATAGGTAAGGGCTATGTTATATTCATTGGTGGACACTTGACACTCAGAACCGCATAGAAACCTGTGCAAGGTTGTTACAGTCAAAATCACGAAAGATGACTGTTACATCATACCATAAATTGTACTGAAGTAATCAATGGAGGACGTACGTCGATGATAAAATCACGAGTCAGAAACATAATAACAACTAATTTGTATTATGATTTTGCGAAGTTAGGTTATTTCACTGATCATTTTCATTGTATTTCATGGTTTTGAGTGATACCTTAATAATACTTTTAGTGGGGACTATTTGTTTTGAAAAAAACAGTTATGAGTAGAATACCTTAAGACAGGACCATCAAAGACCAAAGCATTACTCGAAAACAACCTAAACTGCTTAAACATAACCTAACTATTCATCTTTCAAATATGATCGATCATGCAACATGAAAACATCGTCTATCTTTGTCGGATACATGTAAATTAGCAACAAAGTTTGTTTAGACAATAAAATTCTGTTTGTCTCTGTCTAACATATCAGAAACTTCATTAAATATATTCACAAATCGTTGTCGTATGTCTTTACTACAGACTAAAATGATGATGTAACGAAGGGCCAGTTCGTGACGTCATCATTTCTCAGCTGTTGCATACCGCGTCACTTAAAATGAAAAAGTTAAAGCCAAACACGACTGGTTATGACTATAGTAGATCGCTTAAAATTGCTTTATTATGAGTATTTTGTCTTGCCTGTCAATAATGTCAATTATCTTCACACTAGTTCTGGAATGCAATTTAAGTCAATATGGCATGTAATTTGTACAGAGGATGAAACGAAAAAATAATAGGTTCAACTAATCGGATGTTTGAAGTGATAGAAGCACCTATCCACCTGTTAGAACACTCAGGAAAGAACATGCACAAGCACACCAACACCGAAGGGCAACAAGACTCAAAGCAGAGCACATCGACTAAAACAAAATTCTTGTGTAGAAATAAATCATTTATTCAAAGCTTATACAAGGCATTATGCGGTTATAAGTATAATAATTTACATATTATCTAACACAATTATGATAATGTTGCAATAACTCATGCAAGTGATTTATTTTTAGTTTAAGCTTGCAATCGTCAACTTTTTTTATTTATTGCATGAGCAACTGCCATAAATTGAGTCTTGTTACTCAAAATGCAACAAACAAGTACATAGTCTTAAATAAGGAGCACTTTTCTGTATCTGGCAAAAAGTCAATTTCCTTAAAATACTATATAATACATGGATTACAGGATGCAACAATTTATTCACTAGTTTTTTAAGAAAAAAAAAATATAGGAATTTTATCGAAATTCATCGCGTCATTTTTTTTTGACCTTTGGACCCTAAAATGTTCATTTAAACTTGACCGAGTTCAAGTTATAAATGATTTAAGGGCTGGAAAACCCTAAAAATGCCTATTTTCAATGGTTGGACACTCATGATCGCCACCTACCCATGGTTTCGCTAATGAGCAACAACGAAACGACGCTGTCTGCGGTTGATCATCAAATTTGAAACCTTCCCGCACAAGGAGTGTATTTTGAGATTAGTTTATTTTAAAGCATTGTTGTAATTGTCTAAAAACGCGATATACAGTATAGAATAAACTGTATCTAGAAAGCCACCAAGTAAAACCGTATATGTAGAATCGAAATATTTACGGACGTTTCAGCCACCTTAATGGTGTCTTGGAATGCAGGTGCAAAATGACAATATACTTTTTCATGTACATCCTGCGTCTAAAGGACGGAATGTTAGGCAATAACTTTTTACCAGAGCACTAGTAAACAATGATGCAATATAAAAATATAGGCAAAGAAATAATGCAAGAAGGCACCTCCTGAAAGCACTCATGCCCTTAAATTACTAGTTACATTAATAGAAATCAGTCTCATCCCAAATTAATTCAATCAGCTTAAATATGTTAAATGATAATGGTTAAATGAATAATAGTCATAGAGATTAAATACTGATGGAAAGGAACAATGTTACTTTATATAAGCTATAGGCTAAGATTTGGTGATTAAAATTGATAAGGATCAAATGAAATTGAATAAAATTCATTTTGAAAAAATTAAATACTTGCTTCTAGAAGTAGAGCTTCATCTATGATTTAAGAAAAACGCGCAATAGTTCTGGATCCTACTAAGCTTAACCTTAATTAGACTAGCTCTTGGATAAAACGTATTTTTCACAAAATAGAATATGTTGAAAAAAATTGGCGATAATAGTTGCCTAAAGAAATAATAAACATACGATTTGACATTTAAAGGCTATGGGTAATTTTCAATACTTCTTGGCGTATTTTTTTTTTGTCTCGCAGCCACTTTTTACATACATTCATTTACAGTCAAACCCATATAAAACATCTTAAATCGTCAAGTGAAGATTGATATTGGAGTAGAAGTTGAATATATATTCGAAATTAGCAAGCATCTTCTGAAAAATTTGAAAATGCGTCGGCTTTGGAAGCGAGCTTCTCATATAGTTTATTCAGCTTTTTTTAGGCAGCCTTTTTAACGTATTTTATTTCATAAAAAATACTTTTCATCCGATCGTCGTCAGTAAAGATCGAGTTTAATATGGGCCTTAGACTACAATAATTGTATCAGTATTGCCTTCTGTACAAAATATCTCAAAGTTAGAAACCCCTAACTGGTATAGTCCAATGTTTTTAACCTATTGCCCTTTTTCCCATCACTACTTTTTCTCCCTTGAAAGTATTTTGGAGTTTATGTATTTTTGAGTCAGCAACTTTTTTGCATAGGTACTGCAAAACGTCACATTTTCACATAACAACAAAAATGTATTTTGCCAAATAACTGCAAAAATCGGCAATACTGAAGATCTCGTATGTCAGTTTTTTTTCAAGCAATAACCAATGAAACCATCTAGAAGCAGGCAAGTATTTTTCAAAATAGAAAACCATTAGCCCATGTTAGAAATTACACTGCTTATTTTCAAAGGATAAAAGGTATCATTTTTGACAAAAAATAAAATTTTCATTATTTACAGCAAATATGAAGAACAACAGAACAAAATACAATCACATGGACTTGTTTTACTCTTAGATTTGAATATGGTTCAGGAACAACTGCAATGTGTCTATATAACCATGCACACCTTTTATCTTTTGAGAACAATTTGAATATTTATCACCAATATAGTTGAAGATATGAGCGAACGTTTATTTTCTAGATATGCTGCAAAAAGCAGAAAACGACCTAAAAGCCTTAGTAATTTTATTAATCTTACGTTTGACTGGTGTAGTTTGCGTTTCATTTTCTTTCAGTCGATTCGAATCGACAGGTGAACTTTTGTAGCCATTCAGAACTCGTTCGTTATCTGGGACATGTTCTCGATCTTTTACTAATAATTCTTGCTTCAAATCTGCAATAGAAAACATCATTTAATATTACAGTAGCAAAGCTTAGATAATATATTTTTACTTCTGTTTTTGAAAGATGAAAGAAAAAAGAATAATTTTCTGTTCGGAAATGACTATGACTGACCACAAATGTCATTTAGAGGTAAAATTGAAAAATTACGTTCGGATGCAACATTGACCATAACCTTCAAGGTCAGGACTACTATGACTGGCCATAGTCTTTAAGGTCATTTAGAGGTCAAAGTGAAAAAAAATAAACGTTCGGATGTGGTCTTGGCCATTAGCTTCAAGGTAATGATTACTATAATTGACCATAACTTCCAAGGTCATTTAGAGGTCAGATCTACAAAATACGTTCAGAAGTGACCTTGAGCATGCGCTTAAAAGTCATTTAGATGTCAATTCAAAATTTCAAGTGGAAGAATCAAAAAGCTTCACAATATATAATGACATTGACTATGACTTAAAAGTGATTTAGAGATTAACTAATACTAAGGTCAAGGTCACATACACACACATCACAAAAACATAGCATTTCTTATAAAATTTTCAAGTTGACCTCTAAAAGATCTTGAAGGATATGGTCAAGGTTGTGGTAAATGTAACTTCCGAGCATAAAATGTCTCGATCTTCGTATCGGTGATTTCAAAGAAATATGGATCTATTTGAAACTTTCAAGTTGACCTCTAGAAGACCTTGAAAGCTATGATCAAGGTTATACTAAATGTAGCTGCTGAACGTAAAATTTTCCACTTTGTATCGGTGATTCCAAAGATATATGGTTCTTTCTAAAATTTTCAAGTTAAGGTGCTCTTTGTGTTGGTGTTTTTAAAAAAAAATGTACTGCAAATTTTCAAGGTGACCTCTTAAAAAAACATTGAACATCATTTTCAATGTGTCCATTAGATTGTTCTCAAATCTTGTCTTGAGCATTTTTTTGTTTGAGCAGTATTTTCTGAGATTAAGGGGATTAGAAACTTTCTAAACACTGTAAGTTCATTTTCTTCAATTTTTTTTTATAGGAAAAATGGGTAAAAATGTTCAATTCAAGTAAATATTTACCTCTTGTCTCATCAGCAAACCTTTGCAGTTTTTCCTTAAGGACCTCCTTTTCGTCTATTTCTGATTCTAGCATAGCATTTCTCTCAATGGCTGAATGGAATGCTGCTTCAATACTGGCGATGCTTTCCTCGATAATCCTTCTAGATCGTTCAAGGTCATCATTTTTCTGTTCCAGATCCCTGATGTACTGCGCCATTCGCGAGTTTTCCACTTTCAAGTTCGTTATTTCAGTCTCCAGGTTGTCATTTTCTTTGTTACATTGTTCTACTTTGATCTACAACAAAGAATCTTTTATAAGTCCTATGAAAAAATTCCAAAAATGTGTCATTAGGTCGGGGTAAAACATGTGAACAGTTTTAGAATCCGATGCCAATTTGAGGTTAGAACCTTGGCAGTAAAAAAGGCAAACAAAAATCGTCAAAGCTTCGATTGTTAACGTTTTAGAGGGTCCATATCATTTCCAGAGAAATTTTTGTTGGGGTTGAAATTTTGGGGCTGGGTGTTGTAGGAGGTGGGGGAGGGTATATGAATTATTTTTGATCTTAGTATGTTTATACACTCCCAACCCACGTAATTCTAGGCGCATATTAGCCATATTTCACACATCATAGATTTATGTTTTTAATCTGTGTACTCCTGCCTACCAAAGCAAACCAGTCTGGCTTATATATGTATTCATACTGAAGCACAAGAAACATAGGAGCTTTCACAAGCTGAAAGATAACTCGCTGCAGAGATGCTGCGCAGGTGTGTAGACAATGTTGCAACATACTCAGTAACTACAGTAGCTCAGGGAAAGATGCCTATGGACTAACTGTATGGGCTTGTTCTACATGTCCGTGACACAATATTTTCTCAGATGATTTAAATTGCACTGAACTTAATCCTTCATAAGCTTATGAGAGTGTTGCATAAGAAAGTGCAGAATCAACCCATTTGATGCCATTTTTCACCATAAATTAGACTTATTGACCATTCATTATGTTATGAGGATCATATTTGTAATAAGCGCCTTAACTTACCCTAGAATGGTTGCCCAGATACCAGACAATGTCAGGGAGAAAGAAAGAAAGGAAGGTACAAAGGGGGAAGATCTGAGAGGAGAAAGTGTGTCGGTTAAAGGGGTCCCTTCGCATTGTTAACTAGTATTCAGTAATTCGAAATTGATCAAAAAGTTAATCTAGAAATTTGTATGAGTGGAAAAAATTGTAATTTGGGTTGGACTTAGCATTGGACAATTTAATGTTGCTCGACTGTGTATTTTCACCTGGTATCTGTAACAGCTGTCAAAATCAAAATATTATCAGACCCTCTCAAATATGTATCACATTCCTTGAGACATATGAAAACAAAATAAGCTATTTTTCTTAGCCGATACTGAAAATTCAAATTCAGTATAATTTTGCTAAATAAAATGTCAATAACATACAAAATCCAATAAAACAAAAATGTCATCCGACTACAAAAAAAAACAATAACAGTCCACTATTCAAAATGAGATTCTAAGTAATACCTTCAGTGCATCAATTTCATTTTGAGCCTTGTTGTTTGCTAATGACAGATCCTTGATTTTCTTTTCATTTTGCTCTATGGTCGCCTCATACTCTTTTTCCAGCTGTTGAGATTCAACTATGAATTCATCAGATTCTTTTTGTATCCTCTCCACCCTGAAACATTCACATGTTATATTGTGATTTAGATCCTCTAGATAAGGCTTACTCTTGTAAGTATTCCTCTGCCAAACCTTTCCAATATTGGATTTCTTCATCTTTACTACTGAATTGGAGTACATCTCCTTTACTCATGATGCTTGATTGTGAATGCGACTTACATATGACCTAAAAACAAGGAATTATTAACAAAATATACACCACAATAAAAGATTAGTGAAGAAACAATCTATCAAATTAAAGAGTATCTCCTGAATTTGGGGGCAACTGTCAACATATAAACATGACTCATTTTCCTTTATACTTTCCAGGATTTTGCATGAATACGATTGAATACTGTTGGTGAGATATTGGATTATAAAATATAATGCAAATAACTCAAATTAGATACTTACAATTAATTAAAAACTATTTTGCGTCTCCCTTTTAAAAAAATGTCACTGAACACACAAGATGGTGGCCCAATTTGTTTGCTACACAAAACGCAAAACAAAAACACGTTACACAGAACTGACATTTGAGGATAGTTTGACTGGATAAAAAGGGCCATCTTCAGAACAATAGAGCAAACTAAATATTAGTAATGACAAGTAGTTCCAATTACCAAAACAGTTTCTTTTTTATCAAGGCGTAGGTCTAGCTTGATGATTGAGCTTAATCAACCTTCTTCCAGCAGATGGCAGTAGCTGCGACTATGAATGGTGGTGCTATCTCTAGGGCGACAATAAAACTTGTGATCCTATCATTATTAGTGAAAGAGTTTTCTTCTTGTTCGTTTGATATAATATGTGTCGTAGATTGATTATTGTTTGATCAATTTTCTTCCAGAAGATGGTAGCACCTGCTATATGGAATCATCATCTCTACAGTCGCTAGCAAGGTTTATAATCTTACCATTTGGAACAATACAGGTTCAAGTTTTCATTTCTAATCTCGAACATGATTAATGCCCATATGTATCGTTTGACGCTCACTCAAATGGAGTGTGACTCGACTCACTGTCTCATTGAAAGGCGCCTTAAGGTTGATTCTCACTATACGTTCCGTTTCCATTCCGTAACCGTTCCGTAAATTATTGAAATTAAATATTCGCCTTCGCTTAAAGCAGGCTATTGCGTGTGTATGCACATTATCCGTAAGGTATGCTGTGTATACAATCACATTGTACTTAACGTTTACGAAACTGATATGGAATGGAAACGGAATGTATAGTGAGAATCAACCTTTATAGGGAAAGACATAATTTTGCCTACCGATTACATACACCTAGTTAGAGACGCGATCATTCCCTTTGGACGTGGAGTACCCAAACCATTCGTATTTTCTGAATTTCGAAGTACAACTGTAAAAGGTACAATTCCATACGTCCAGGAAGTAAGAAAAACTATTTAAAGGTGAACGATTTGAGATGTCTAAGATATGATAGCACTCTCCAAATCTACTACAAATCGGAAAATATTGATCCTTATGAAGTCTTACCTCATCGCCAAAAACAAATTGATATAACCTATACGTCCAAACAGCTCTACGAGACAAGGCTTAAGATAACAAAAAAGAAATGGGATCGTTTGCAAGGATTCAAAAAAGTAATGTCTGAAGATGTATATTTTTACAATGCACACCAATATGAAGGAAGCACGGAAGCTGCAGAATTAACTAGCATGAAGATCCAGAAAAGTCGTCGCGGACAATGATGTATGATCTCATATTTTTATGTTTTTCTTTGTTGTTAGCAAATAATAAACGATTATATACCGTAAAAATGCTGTTTCCAACAAAATTATATTCGCACAATATGCTGTATCCCAATTAGTTTCCTAACTTCTATATAAAGTAAAAAAGATATAGGTAACCTACTGTGGAAGACAAAAAGGTCGCATCAAACATAATGATCAAATGCTAATACTTCTTAAGCCACATACAAGGCTGGAATGGTCTCTACTTGTCGATATTTTGTCTAAAACAGATAAAGCTTATCTCAAATGTGTCAATAAAAACATCTAACAGCATTAAATGACAAATTAATTTCGAATAAATCGTTTTTTCCTCGTATTGTAAAACTCGCTTTTTGGGGATACACCGTATTAGAACTAAGCCATCGATATACTGTTCCCTATAGGGTGACCGTGTGATTTACCTTATGGAGAACCCTGGCACGTGAATAATTTAATTTTTGTAAAAAACATTAATGATTAACGTGTTTTTTATTTGCAATAATAAGATTTGGATACTATATCTGTTCTACCTAACTACCTTAACAATATGAAATGAATGAAATCAGGATGTTATCAAAGTTGAGTCATTTATTTTAACTACTTGTAGGGCTTGTCAAAGTAGTTGATATACCAAAAATCAACTGTATAAAAGTCGCATAATAAAAGAAATATTAAAAGATTAAAAATTTAAAAAAATTAAAATGTTATTACACAGATTTCTTTGATATTCTCGACCGCTACCGTGTAAAATCTTAACGTTTTTTGTGAGTACTTGGTTCGATCACTTGTATCAATCTTTTACTAGTGCGTGTGCTTTCATTTGTCTGATTATTCTGTGCGAAAAAGTGGCCCATGTTTTCGAAAACAATGAACTACTGGACATAATACTAAAAGGGAGAATGCCAGGTTGTATGCGGAAAGGTTTCCTTTAAGAAATCATCCGGCCCCACGGATGTTTGTAGATTGAGTTATTAGACTCCGTGACACAGGATATTTGGAAGAACAACGAGGAGGTCACGCTGCAAGACCTGCTTAACCTGAAATGTTACAAATTCTGGAAGACATTTTAGAAATGGTCGAAGACGATTCAACAATGAGTACTAGCAGCTCAAGTTGAAGTTCCTCATAGTAAAGTGTGGAAGGCAATACGACAAGAGCAGTATTATCCCTATTATTATCTGAAGTTCATCCTAGAAGAGATGCATTTTAATCGTGTTCCTACATAATGGGGATCCACGAAACGTTTATGAACATCTAAATAATGTTTCCGAATAGATGGATTGGACGCAATGGACCCATTTTTTGGCCTGCTCGCTCTCCGGATTAAACACCTTGCGATTTTTTTCTGTGGCACTATTTGAAACAGTTGCTGTATCATGATGGAGCAGTAAATACTCCGGAAGAACTTCCACAACGTTCTGAAAATACTTCGAAGCTTGTAAGGAGTCGTGGATTCGCCATGCAAGATTCTGCGTTAATCGAACAAATAAGGGCAATTTTGAACAGTTTTTGTAAAAACGGTATCCATTTAGCTTGACAATGATTTTTTTTCTTAATAGTCTTTAATCATGTAAACTAAATCTATCAACTTCTTTTGAGGAGTTCTACAAGCTGTTAAAATAAATGACTCAACTTCAAAAACACATATGCATATACATTTTATATTGTTAAGGGGGTTAGGTGGTAGAATAGATATAGTATCTAGATCTCGCCTCCTGTAAAACTGAAAATTTGTTGAAAACCTGTGCACATTAACGAAAAAATAAAGTATAATCATTGTAAAAGAATAAAGATATATGAGGTCAGTTAACACTTACGGGTTACAACAGATTTCACTGCCGATCGATTAGAATTTCTTTCACGTTTTTCTTGAATTTAGTAATGCATTAGTTTCTTTGAAACTACGGCCTAAAGAATTATAATTTGATCGCATTGTAAATATATGTACTCTGAAATAGAGATGTGCTGTGCCGTGGAATTTAAAAAGTATCTTTATATCTACCAGTAATGCCATGCATATTTCATCTACGTATGAATTTGGTTACTAAATATGACGGTGTTTTTGAATAAAGAACCCTATGAGTCAGACTTAGGAGCTGGTATTTATGTATTTTATCAATTTTCATCCATTTTAGGTCAATAATGGCATTCGATATCTAATTATATTTTCTTAGATCATTTACTTTGAATATATTTTCTTATTCTAATATCTAAATAGGGATAGTAAACCGCCGAGCAATATTATATTTTTTTTTAAAAGCAGCAAAAATTCGCATAATTGCTTTCTCTCATATCTATGTAATATAGCCTTATTTGCAAATAAAACTCTGAGAATAGCGAAGAACTGAAAAATTAGATGGTTTACGTGTCCATTATAATACCTAGGCTTTTCGAACGATCCACAGGTAGGTACTGTTTTATTACCTATTGAATTTATGTTTGTGTCCTTTTTTGAAGCATTCCTTTTTGTTTTATTTGCGTATATCTACCAACATATTTGTCTTTAAGGGGTCCAAACGAAGATTATGACTACTACTAAACTTTTCAATTTGGGCAAGATCTTGATTAATTTTATTATCAGCTTTCATTATTCCTAAATGAATAGAAAATCTGAGTAGCGTCGGTGATCGTGAAGGGATCGCTCTAGTACTAAGAATTCCAGATGTAAACTCATTCCATTCTTGGAATGTCCCGTGGAGGGTGGACTCGAGGGAACAACTTCGATGATAAAATTAGTTTCACGAACATCTGCGGAATCAACAGCACCACTTATGGTGTTCATCACTACCTGTAATCTAATCGTCCCGCTATGCTTTCCTTGACCGAGACAAAAATCTCACCGATTAATCATCAATCTGAGAAAGAACGGGAGAGTTGTGGTTTCTGTCCGCAGCAATATTTCCTGCTCCAGAGACGTTTCTTTGGAATCAGACTGGAAGGACATTCTGTGGCTTTGCCTCAACACCAAATTATCCTCCAAATTTAGTTGCTGACTTTATCGCTCTTCCTCACACCATAACTGGGATGATCTACTTGGATACCTCGCTGTCAAGCTCGATTTCCTGAAGATCAATCATCCCGCTTCTGAGGTAGTTCTCCGAGGCGATTTCAGTGCCCATAATGAGCTCTGGTTGGGCTCAAGTAAGACCGATGCGGCATGTCGTGCAGTTAAAGCGTTCGCTACTACCCAAGGACTGACCCAGCTGATGACGAATCCTACTTTTTTCCCCCGCGCTGCTGTCCTGTCTGCACTGGGTAACTCATACCACGGTGTTGTGGAGTTTAGGTTTCGGTCTGAACCCACTGTGGTAGCAGAAATTCGATCAGGCCGAAAAATTTGGCATTACGGACATGCCGATTGGGAGGGCTTCACAGCCTCTCCGCCTTCCTCTCGAGAGATGCTTGTTTCGCTAACGCGTATACTCTTGTCGTTTGAAATCAACAAATCCTCCGGTCCAGACTTGATTCTCACCGCTATATTAAGGTGTGCAGCGGAGCTTGCTCCAGTTCTTTCGTGTCTCTTCCAGATATCTTACGAATCCGGGACCTTCAAAGAGAATGTAAATTTGCTCATATCCAACATATCCCAAAAAAGGGATCTAAGACCGACCCTTAGAACTGCAGGCCTATAGCTCAACTTTCCGTTATAAGTAAGGTGATGTAGAGTCACGGCTTGATTAGCGACAGGCAGTATGGTTTCCGGCATCCGCGATCAATAGGGACCTCCTAGCTTGCGACACGCAATTGTGGAGTAAACTCAGCCAGTCTTGTGGTGAGCCTCATGTCGTTGCT